TTTAAAACCAAAATTTTAGCGCTAAAGGCTCTAAAATTGACAAGCTTGGATTCAGAAGATGTATTATTTTTCAAGCTGGGTTCCCTATGGCTTATGGATTCAGGCTTCTGATGTTTTAGTTAGAGATTACCACAAAGAAGCCTCATTTATGTGGTTTGGGATAGCATGTCTGCTCTGGGGTGAACTGCAAGTTATACTGTCTAGATGTGGTCTTGTAGTTCTCTGTCATCGTCAAGGGCAGTGGAAACCATTCTTACAAAAGAGATCATTGGCAAAGTATACCAGTCAGCTACAGAGGGAATAGGAAAATATCCTTGTCCTGGTCTTCGGTCTACTTCATTTATGAGTAAATCCTTAGTGTTGGGTCTCTACTCTTTGAGGCAGACTACTCTTGGTATGTCTATTCATTCTCTTGGTATGTCTATTCTTTCTATCTGTCTGCTATCAATCATTGATTAATAAGACTGGATATGTAGCTCAGGCTGCCCTTAGCTCATTGTGTAGTTCAGGCTGGCCTGAAACTCATCAAACTTGAGGTGATCCTTCTGCCTCAGCCTCCTGAGTGCTGGGATTACAGGCATGCGCTACCACGCCTGTCTTGATGTGTCTAGTTTTTTGTGTAGTTTTTTTGAGACAGGGTCTTGCTGTGTAGCAGACTGATATTGAACTCATTTTGCAGCAGTCCTCCTGCTTCAGCCTCCCTGAGCTTGCTGAGTTCTGTCAGTATAGACATGTAGTTTATTTTATTTATTTTTTTATTTTTTAATGGTACCGGGGCTTGAACTCACAACCTTGTGCTTGCCAGGCAGGTGCTTATGCCACAGAACTAAATCCCCGGCAACATTTAAACCTATGGCCTCAGCCTCCAATAGTGCTGAGAGCACTGACGCATACCACCATGCCCGGCCTGTTTTCTTTTCCTAGAGCCAGGGATCGAACTCAAGACCTTGCCGTTGCCAGGCCGACGCTTATGCCACTGAGCTAAATCCGTGGCTATTTTATTTTTTAACTTGCTTTATTGGTACACATCAGTATATTTTAAATTCATTGTGTTAAAAGTTTAAGTGAAGAGTTCTTTGGAGAAAAATCTAAAGCCTATGGTAAAAATGATAATCTGTTATATGAGAGCTTGTTTGGAGGTTCTAGCAGGGAAATGCTGCTACTTATATACCCTTGACAAAATGCCCTCCTCTGCTGGGGAAAAGCAACCTTTTTGTACACAGCTTCTAGGGAGGGTTGCACATGGGGCGATGAGGGAGGAAGGGGATGCCTGCCTAGTTAGACAGATCCTCAGAATCAACCCTGATGACTGGTGAGTGACAAGTGCTGCAGTTAGATTGCTCTTACGTCTGATAGTATATTATTTGAATCTGAGTTACACCTTGCGCTACCAAGGCCATAGATGATGATGATGATGATGATAATGATGATGATTGTTTGGTACTGGGGATTGAACTCATGACCTTGTGCTTGCCAGGCAGGGGCTTGTGCAGCTGAGCTAAATTCCTGGCGCAAGGACCATACATTATTTTGCAATGAACATTTATTTCTGTACTGCTTCGGAACTTTGATGAGCAGAGATGAACCTGATAGTGGATTGTGAATTGGCCTGTGTTCCTTTATATATTTAGAATTGACAATTGCTCATTTATAAGACTTCTCATTTTCCTTTTCTGGAAATGGGACTGCTTTGGTAGCAGGTTTTTTGTTTGTTTGTTTGTTTGTTTTGTTTTTTTGAGACAGGGTTTCACATTTCAGGCTGGCTTTGAACCCACTGTGTTGCCAGGATGGCCTTGAACACAATGATCTTCCTCCTGCCTCAGCCTCCTGAATGCTAGGATTACAGGTGTGGGCCTGGCTCTTACTTATTTTGGGCAGTACTGAGGTTTGAGCCCAGAGCTTTTGTACAGAGCTATATCTCTAGCCTTTAAAAGTCTGTCAGTCTTTCTTTCCTTCTTTTTCTTTTTGGTACTGGGAATTGAACACAGGACCTTGTGCTTGCCAGGCAGGCACTGTACCACTGAGCTATATTCCTGGCCCTAAAAAGTTTTTAAAATTGTAGTTAGGTGTGGTGGGGCATGCCTATAATCTCACCACTCATGAGGGTGAGGCAGGAGGATTGTCATGAATTCAAGGCCAATTTGAACTATATAGCAAGACCCTGACTCAAAAAAAACCCCAGGTTTTTAAAAACATTTTGACAGTTCCATTGAGTTTCTAAGTTGTCTGGGCTGGGACTTGATTTTGCAGTCCTCCTGTCTCAGCCTCTGAAAGTACTGTGCCCCTATGGCTATGTTAGACCCTATTTTTAGGGCAGTTCATTCATTCATTCATTCATTCATTTTAGTACTGGAAATCGAACTCAGGACCTTGCAGTTGTCAGGCAGGTGCTTATGCCACTAAGCTATATCTGTGGCCAACTTAAAGGTTATAGAAAAATGAGTAGAAAATAGGGTTGTTATACAGGGTTGGCAGTGGGTTGTACCCACTGCCAAATGATACTTTATTGTTAAGTAATATTCACATGTAGCTTGAATTAGTGTTCACAGTTTTTTTTTTCCCTTAGGCTCAGCATAGGGCCTAGTGCATGCTAGCATACTGGGCAAGTTTTCTACCACTGAGCTACATCCTCAGGCCTATGGTTTCTGCTTTGTATTGTACATTCTCTTGGTGGTTGTTTGTTGTTTGCTTTTTTGAGACTGGGTTTCACTGGTCTTGAACTCATTTTGTAGCCCAGGCTGACCTCAAGCTTGTAGTGATCCTTTGGCCTCAACCTCCCAAGTACTGGGAGTATGTCACCCAGGTGTGTGTCACCACCCCTGGCCATTCTCTGGGTTTTGACAAATGTATGATGATATGTACCCTCCGTTATAGTATCATAGAGTAGTTTTACTGCTCTGAAAGTCCCTCTGCTCTACTAGTTCATCCCCTTCCTGTGCCAGGCTGTTTAATGTTTCTATAGTTTTTGCCTTTTGATTCATATAGGAATCATATCATATATACCTCTTTAAGGTAGGTTTCTTTTACTTAGCAATATGTGTTTAAGTTTCCTTGTCTTTTTGTGGCTTGATAGTTCTTCGTCAGGGAATTGAACCCAGGGCCTCCTCCTACATACTAGGCAAATGCTCTACCACGGAGCTCCAGCTTCACCATCACCAACTTTTTAATTGTAGTTTGTTCTTTTTTTTTGTTTTATAGAAAAAAGATAAAACAATGTCTCTCTCTCTCTCTCTCTCTCTCTCTCTCTCTCTCTCTCTCTCTCTCTGCGGGGGCAGGGTTTACTGGGAATTGAAATCACTACCTTGTGCTTATAAGGAAGGTGCTTTGCTGCAGAACTATATCCCAGCCCCTAAAACAGAATTTCTTAACAAAATAATAGGAAAAAAAAAACAATAGTTAATACGTTATATGCTGTCATCTTCAGAGTAGTTACTCAGAGTCAAGATACGGGCATAAAAATTCTCCAATTGATATTAGCACAAACCTTGCTTTTCAGTGAACTAAGAGACAGTAATAGTGTAATTAACTTGCATTTTTTTCCCCTTTTTCTTCCTTTCCTCTTTCCCCTCTCTTTGTTCTTGTTCCATCCATCCATGTTTTCTTTTTAAACAATTTCTTCCCATTTCACAATATCTTTTGTACATTTTAGACCTTATTTACTCTTTCAATTTCTCACACCAGGACGACAATAGAAGACTCAGAGACAACTGCAAACACACTCAACCACCTTATCTTTTTTTTTTTTTTTTTCTCGGTACCAGGGATCAAACTCATGACCTAGCACTTGCCAGGCAGGTGCTTATGCCACTGAGCTAAATCCCCAGTCCCAAACTACCTTATCTTTGACGAAAAGGCTAAACATGTCCATTGGAAGAAAGCCTCTTTAAAAAATGGTGCTGGAAAAATTGGCTCTATACATGCCAGAGACTAAATCTAGACCCATGTCTGTCACCATGCACTAAAGTCAAAATGCATCAAAGATCTAAATATTGAAACAGACACACTAAATCTACTGGGAGAGAAAGTAGGTGGAAATGTTTAAGACATAGGTATAGGCAGAGAGTTCATGAACTAAACCTAGAATCAACAGCTAGGATCTCATCTTATTAAAAAGCTTTTGCACATCAAAAGAAACCAGCAATGAAGCGAAAAGACAACCCACAGAGTAGGAAAAATTTTTAGCCAATTGTCTCTCAAAAGACTTCTATTTAGAACAAAGAATTGAAAAAAATAAGGTCCCCCAAATTCAAAGACTGTGTCCAGAAATGGGCTTAAGAGATGAATATACATTTCTCTGATGAAGAAATACGATAAATGAAAAAATGTTCAACATTGTTGGTCATTCGAGAAATGCAAATTAAGACAATACGGAGACGCCATCTCTCTACAGAAAGAATGGCTGTCATTAAGAAATTAGTCAGTAACAAATGCAATAGAGGGGCTGTGGGGAAAAAAGAAGCCTTCTCCACTGTTGGTGGGAGTACATACTGGTGCAACAACTGTAGAAATCAGTATGGAGATTCCTCAAAAACTAGGATTAGAGTTCCCATTCCTAGGCTATCCCTGCCTAGGTATCTTTCCAGAAAATTAAAAACATCATACCACAGTGATACATATGCACCCATGTTTATAGCAGCACAATTTAAAATAGCGAAACAACCCAAATACCCATCTACCAAGCAGTGGATAAGAGATTGATATACAGTAGTATGCTACTCAACCATACAGAAGGATAAACTTGAATTTCCATAGGTAAATGGACACAACTTGAAACTATATTCATTGAAATAAATCACCATGATTTTTTTTTTTTTGGTACTGGGGATTGAACTCATGACTTGACCTTTGCTAGGCAGGTGCTTATGCTTCTGAGCTAAATCCCCAGCCTCACCATGAAATTTTTAATAGCAAATTAAGATACTTTCTGAAACATTTGAAAGCAGCCTGTGCATTATCTACATTGCTCATCAAATATAACTGTCATACTTTTTTTAAAACAGATTATCTTGATAATGGTAATAATAAAATGGCAATTCAGCAAGCAGATAAATTGTTGAAGAAACATAAGGACCTTCATTGTGCTAAGGTAAGTTCATTTGTTCCTGAGTTATTTATATTTGTAATTCTTTAAAGGGAAGGATTTTTAAAATCCTTTTTATTGTTAGTATGTGTGATATAATTGCATGTATCTTGGGGAACCTGAACATATACATACAGTATTACAGATATTTGATCTCTTTAGAGAGTATTCAGGTTTTTTTCAGAGTACATTATAGGCTGTTTTCCTGGTTGTTTACATGCCATAAATATTTAATTGAAAGCTAACTATTTATATTGAGGATATGACTTATCTAGCTATTTTATTTTTAGAATGCTTTTCTTTCTGTGTGTGTGTGTGTGTGTGTGTGGTCTTTTGACTGCTATGTCATCCAGACTGGTCTTGAACTCATGGGGTTTTTCCTGCCTCAGTCTCCGGAGTGCTAGGATTAAATGCATGTACTACCATTACTACCATGCCCAGCTGTATAGTGTCCTTTTATACACTGTTGGATACTCTTCATATGACTAAAATAGAAAGGGTTTTTTTTTTTCCTTTTTGAGACAAGGTCTCACTGTGCCGTTCAGGCTGGCCTTGAACTCAAAATGATCTTCCTGCCTCAGTCTCCCAAGTGGTGGGATTGTAGGCATGCGCCACCATACCTGGTTTTTTGTTTTGTTGTTGTTATTCTTGGTTTTTTGAGACAGGGTCTTGCTATGTATTACAGGCTGAACTTGATTTGCAGACTTCCTCCTACCAAGTGCTGGGATTACAGATGTGTGCTACCATGCCCAGTAGGAATTTTGTATTTGCTTAGGTTTTTAGTAGAAATAGGTTTAGTTGACCAGCAGCCTAGGCTTACCTCATAATGTCTTTCAGGTTGGTTTTGTTTGGTTTATATTTATTTCCTTCTGTATCCTTTTACAAGCTGATTCTTCTCTCCTTGTGATTAGGTTTTAAAGGCAATCGGTTTACAAAGAACTGGAAAGCAGGAGGAAGCCTTTACTTTAGCACAGGAGGTGGCAGCTCTGGAACCCACAGATGACAACTCACTGCAGGCGCTGACTATCCTTTACCGGGAGATGCATCGGCGTAGGTTTCCTTTTCACTGTTTTTTTTTTTTTTTTTTTTTTTTAATTTTAGAGAGAAAAAAATAAAATGAAATTTCAAAACAAGATAATATAATAACAATGATTAATATAGTACATGTTGTTATCTTAAATTACTCACTTAGAGTACACGGTACAGGCATTTAATTGTCCAAACAATGTTGGCACAAATCTTTCTTTTCAGTGAATTAAGAGAAATTAGTGATATAAATACTTTATCTTGTGTGTGTGTGTGTATTTTTTTTGCTTTTTTTTCCTCCTTTCCCTCACCCCAGTTTCTCTTTCCTTTTGAACAGTTTTTTTCCCGTTTCACAATATCTGCTGTGCATTTTGGATTTTTTTTACTCTTTCAGCTTCTCACACTAGGGAGACAATATTATGTTTACACATGTGAGCATTTCACTGCTTTTTGACCCAAACTTACAGTTTTGAATTATTTCTGAGTTCTCTGTTTCACTTTGTTCAATTTGCTTGTCACTCACGATTTGCAAGGATGACAATAGGTAGATTCTCTCATTAGCCACTGTCTGTGAAGACTTTTGACAGAAAGGGTGATTTACATGTGTTATGTTCCTTGAATTGGAATGAGGACGATTGAGAGTTTATTTTGTGAACACTGTGATTGTTCACAGTGAGCCCTTACTCTTGCTTTGGTTTTTCATTTATTAATCTTTGTGGTCCTAGAGATTGAACTCGAAGAACATGTAACTTTACAGCTGAAATTTGTTTTCTTTGTTTCTTTTTCTTTTTTTGGAGGGGGGGAGATAGGGTCTTGCTATGTAGTTCATGGTGGCCTCAAACTCTCAGTGATCTTCCTACCTCAGCCACCTGAGTGCTGGGATTACAGGTATGCGCTGCCACACCCAATGAGTTTTGTTTTAATTTTTACAAAAGATAAAACATTAAGAGTTGAAGTATTGAAGAAGGAAAAAACCAGTTGGTGTATTATATCTGTTTAGAGATTATACTGACTTAGCAATATGGTTGAAATAATTATTAGTTGAATAGTTCTCTTGTCAGATATTATATCAGAGTTAGAGAGAAAAATCTTCCTGCCCTCATGTTACTCCTAGTGTATAAGGAGAAATGTGTCACTAGGTGGTATACTGCATTATGGGTTTTTTGTTGTTGTTGTCCTGTTCTTTTTTCTTTTTCCTTTTTTTGTACTGGGAATCATACTGTGCCACTAAGCTGTATCTCCCCAATTTTTTTGGTTTGTTTTCTGAGGTAAGTTCTTGCTGTTTTGTGTAGGCTGCTCATGAATTCCTGAGTTCAAGTGATCCTCCATTCTCAGTTTCCCAAGTAGCTGGGACTCCAAGGGTGCAGCACCATGAACTTTATTACATATTAAGAAGGTCATGGGTGGCAGAAGGAGACTGATCAAATTGGAGTGGTGAAGACCTGACATGGTGGCACATGCCTATAATTCTTGCACTTGGGAGACTAAAGCAGGAGGCTTGCTATAAATTCAAGGCTACCCTGGGCTACATGGTGAGATCCTGTTTGAAAAAACCAAAAACAAAAGCAAATTAATATGGAGAAGCAGAGACAGTGCTCAGGGAAGGTCCTGGGCTGTGGTGGTTGTTAACATTCATTGACCAGGCAAAGGGACCAGCATAGGGCATGGAGGTAGGATATCCTACAGGGCATCCAGTGGAAGCAAAACTAGTTTGATGTGACTAGGCGATAAAGTGCTAGGGAAATGGGACAGGGACAGGCCAGGTCCTGAAGGGTCTTTTATATTGTAACTGTGATGAGGAAACCCCACCCTCAACCCCTAAGTGAGAGAAGAGGCAAAGCAAAGATGTTCTCTTTTTTTTTTTTTTTTTTTTTGGTACCGGGTATTGAACTCACAACCTTGTACTTGCCAAGCAGGCACTTACACAGCTGAGCTGAATCTCCGGTTCAATGTTCTTCTTTTTTAATGATAAGAAACATCTGTTTTGCTAAATAGGAAAAATGTTAAGTCATTAGAATTTGCATGGTAACACATGTTTATGATCCCAGTACTTGGGAGGCTGAAGTAGGAGGACTGCTGTGCAAAGCCAGCTTGAACTGCACAGCAAAACCCTGTCTCAAAAAGATAAACCAAACAAAAAAATACATATATTTAAATCTTATTTCTCTTAAATCTTATTTTGCTTTATTGTAGCCGAATTAGTTACAAAACTTTATGAAGCTGCTGTGAAGAAAGTTCCCAACAGTGAGGAGTATCACTCTCACCTCTTCATGGCCTATGCCAGAGTGGGTGAATACAAGAAAATGCAACAGGTAACTTGATCCCCAAACCTACTGGGCTACTACTATTAGAGAAATTGTAAGTGTCTTTACTGGAATTTAATGTAGTGTGTGTGTGTCGAATGTATGTATTTGTGTGTGGAGATCAACCAGTTATTTATCTACCATTCAAGTTCTTTAAATGCTTTATTTGGGAAAAATAGATTGTTCTTCAGTTGTGGCTTGATGGTATGTTTTGTTTGGTTCTGGTAAGTCTGCCTCAGATTGTCTCATTGCATAACAGTGCTGTTAAAGTTTCAGAAAGTAGGCAGAAATCCCAGAGTGAAAAATAGATTATAGAAGTAAGTTTGCATTTAATTTGTAAAGTTAAGTGTCTCTGTCCTGCTGAGATTTTTTAAAATCTAGCAGAGGATTACTACATTGTCTGGAATAGTTGGTTTTTGCTAGTCTGTTGGTTTGCTGGTGGCAGTTTATTTGCCAGTTTGTATATCTCAGGTGTTCTTGGTATACATCTAAAGGAGTCTTCTGGGGACACACATTTGAACTAGTGTAGAGGTAAAACTGACAGCCAGAGAAAGGAAACCTGCACGATGAAACCCATAAACAATTAGAATGTCAAGTTAGTGTTTTTTGTTTCTTTTTTGAAAGAAATGCTTTCTTGGTGGGTAGAATGTCTTCTGAAAGTGGAGATGTTTTACTTTGGTTTTTATTTATTATATCTTATTCTTTTTTTTTTTTTTTTTTTTTTTTTGAGATAGAGTTTTGTTGTGTAGTTCAGATGGACTTGAATTCACTATGTAGCCTAGAGTGGCCTCAAATTTGCAACAATTTTCTTGCGTCGGCCTCCTGAGTGATGGGATTACAGGCATGTGCCTATCCCTGGTTTGTCTTACTCTTTAGCTGATACATCAAACTATAGCAATGGATAAAGGGCCTGGGGATGTGACTGAGTGGTAGAATTCTTGCCTTGCATGCACAAGGACTTCAGTTTGATCCCCAATCCTGCAAAAACACACAATAAATAAATCTCACGCTGATGGTACTATCATAATATAGATTCTTAAAATCAGTCTGTAAGCTAGGCATGGTGGTCACATCTGTAACTCAGCACTGTGGGAGACAGAAGACAGAAGGATCCCAGGTGTCTGTTAACAGCTACTCAGCTGCATCATTGTAGCACAACAGCCAAAGACAGTGCACACTTGGATGGGTGTGGCTCTGTTCTGTCAACAGAACTTTTTCTTTAGTGCTAGAAATTGAACACGGGCCTCACAATGAGGTACATCTACAATCAACACTTTCTCTATCGTTGTATACTTAATTAATTTATGGGGTTTGTTTGTTTGTTTTTGAGGTAAGGCCTCCCTATATAGTTCAGGCTGGCCTCGGACTCACTGTGTAGCCCAGGTTGGCTTCGAACTCTTGGTGATCCTCCTGTTTTGGCCTCCTGGGTGCTGGGATTACAGGCATGTGTTACTATACCTCATTGTTTTGAGACAGAGTCCTACTAAAGTATCCATGCTGGGTTTGAATTTTTGATGCCTGAGTCTCTCAAAGTGCTGGGATTACAAGTGTTAGTGTTTCTACCTAGCTTCTTTTTATTTTGGAGACAGGGTCCCATAAATTCCTCAGCCTGGGCTAAAATTTGTGATTTTCCTATTCCAGCCTCCCAGAATGGTGGGATTACAAGGTGTGTGCCACCATACGCAGCTAAAAATATTATTACTTATTTATTGATTAATAGTCTCAGGAAAAATATATGTTTTATTTGCTTTTTGAGACAGTCTCATTATGTAGTCTAGGCTGGCCTTGAATTATACTTCTTCAGCCTACTGAGTGCTGGAATTAAAAGCATGCACCACCTCTCTTGGCTAGACATTTATTTTAAGGAAAGTTTATTAAATACCTGTTTATAGAGATATTTTTAAAAGAAATTAAGATTTGTAGGCACAGTTACTTGAGTGGATGAGACAGAAGAATAATTTCGGGACTAGCCTAGACAACTTAATGAAATCCTGGTCTCAATAAAATTTTTAAAAAGGAGTTGGGATGTAGTTCAGTAGTAGACTGCCTAGCATGTGGAAGGCCCAGGGTTCATCCTCAGTATTAAAAATAAAGTTATAGTTCACTTCTGCAGTAGAATAAGACGCAGTACCCTGTTTCTCTAAATAATTTTTGAGTATCTTTGTTGACACAGAAAGCTGTTTTTAATATAGGAAAAAGAATTTGCAGTTCTGCCTCAGCCTCCCAGAGTACTGGGATCACATGACATCAGGGATGGCTGAGGTACAGGTATTTTACAGATTTAATTCATTGTTTTATTCATTGTTGAAACCCCAGTCCCTTGAATAATAGCATCTGCCCAATAGTATTTGTTAAAGGGTGCATGATTAGTATAACTCTGGAGACAGGAACGAGGGGACACAGGGAATCAGAAAATAAAAGAGCTTCTCTCCCAGATGACTGCCTTGGCAGGGAATATTGAAAACCACTAGCAATGTAGAGTTGCTAGTCATTCAGGTTGTGATTAGACCTTCTTCGTTCTGTAAATGATGTTCCCGTTCTGTGAGGCAACAATTAATTAATTTTTTCCTTTTGAGACAGGGGCTTGTTACATAGTTCAGGCTGGTCTTAAACTCACTATGTAGACCTGGCTGGCCTTGAACTTGTGCATTCCTTTTGCCTCAGCCTCCTAAATGCTGGGGTTGCAGACATTTGCCACCATGTCTGGCTAGTCAGCAATTTAGAGCCATGGGTTTTTAGTTTTTATTTTTGTATTGGAGGGAGCTTTGATAGAGCCATGTCTTCTAAAACATAGCTCTTGTCAGAATTTTCTGTACTAGCAGATTATCCAAGTCTACAAGATGGTAGAGTGTGGGCATATTTTTGTCTCCCATTTTATGTTAAACTTTTAAAAAATTTTCTAATACTCTGTTGTCTTTTTTATCTTTGCATGTCATTATGAAAACATTTCTTCTCCTAAACTATGAACTAAAGCTGATGCTCTGGTACTTCTCATCTTGTACCCTCAGAGTACTTATGCCTTCAGAGTTCCCCATGCTATTGGCACAGGAAGCTCAAGACCCCTTGCACTCTCTAGTTCATGCTCTGTGTCCATTTTGTCTCACATCATCTTGATTCTACCTCCACAGGTTCTCAGGTATCTTCTCCATTTGATCTACCTCATCCTGGTTTAAACTTCAGCACCTCTGGTTGCTTCCTATTTTGTCTTTTTCATGGTACTACTAACATGGTCTCCCTAGAAGAAAGTAGATTTATACTTACCATTTCCCTACTCCCTGTAGACTTCTTCTGGAAGACCTTACAACAAAGGTACCTTTCAACCCTTTCCCCTGCTATTCCTTTTAAACCCTTGGTTTACTACCCCACCCCACCCCACCCCACCCAGGGCTGGGGGTTGGACTAGGGCTTTGTATATGCGGAGCAAGTACTCTACTGCTGCGCTGCTTCCCTAGTCCTTACTTATTTTCACTCTTTCTCCCAGCCTTCCTACCTTTCTTTCCCTTTCCTTTACATTCCTGGGGATCCCACAGCATACAAAGGCAGGCATTCTGACACAAAGCTACTCCTCCAGCCCTTGAATATTGTGTTTCACAATGTGAAAGTCAGTTTGCCCCTGTCACCCCCAACTTCCAGGCAAGGGACCCAGGGCCTGGTGCATGCTAGGCAGACACTGTGGCACCAAGCTGCACCCTCAGCCCTTATTTATTTAAATTTTGAGACTGTCTTGTTAAATTTCACAACTAGCCTCAAACTTACGACCCTCCTGCTTCAGCTTCTCTAGTAACTTGGTAATTCTTCTCTAGTAATTATAGGAGTGTGGCTGGCATCTTTTCTGATTTTGAAGTTTAAATATACTGTCTGGTTTTATTTATTTGTTTTAGTGCAACTCTTTAAAGTTCTATCTTCAATAAGATTGTTTATTGATACACTTGTCAGATTTTTTTGTTTCCTTGATAGTCTGTTAAAATTCCATTGGATAACAGTATAGTCTAGAAATATTCATCCTCAATTTTAGAAAAGTATGATTCAAAAGATGAAATGGTATTCATGTTATGAAAATTCACCTCTGTGATTAGCTCTATAGCCATCAAGTCACTGGGCACTTAGACTAACTGGGATATGTAAATGTCTTATTTTCCTAAGAAATTTCTTAGTATTTATTTGAATTATTGTTCTCCTTATAATATATTCTAAATTAAGTATTTATGACTCTCTGTCTTTCAGGCTGGCATGGCTCTATATAAGATTGTCCCCAAAAATCCTTACTATTTTTGGTCTGTGATGAGCTTAATTATGCAAGTGAGTATGGAATTCAGAATGACATTGACGTTTCTCTTAAAAATCATTGTTCTAAATGTGTCTTCTGACATCTCGTATGTGTCTCATTGTGAGTCAAATAGGGTCTTTATTGTCAGTTGACTTTAAGTTGGAGATAGCTGATACTTTCTGTGAGTTGATAGGTTGGTTTATTAGGATGCCATGTGGACTGTATTTCCTGTGAATCATAGATCCATTTCTGAGTTATTGACAAGGTACAGGCCTCCAGATGTTTGCTGTTTCAGTCTGAGGTTTGTTTTAAGACAGCACTTTAAACTGAGTAGTTTTATTTTAGCACTTCTAAGACTCACTTTGCTCTTTGCAGAATGCAGGTGCTTATTTCCCAGAGCTACTGGAAGGATTCAAATGACATTTTATTAGGAAAGGATGGAAAGAAGAAAGTAAAATGTAGTGATTAAGAATCAGGTTTTCTGGGGTCAGACAAGTCTACCTTTGAATGCATGTGGCTTTGGCCCATGGTTTAGAGAGCTGATGGTGGAATCTTTGAACCTTAATTTCTGTTTTTTTTTTTTTTTTTTTGAAGTATGATATTAACTGAAAAGATTGTTTGCAAGGGATAAATGAACTCTGAACTAAATCTGTGCCACTATTAAAATTCTGAATATGCATTAACTTTTATCAGTTTAAGGTAACTAGCTAGTAGTAAACTATGAATAAGATGAATTAACATTTCCCTTTTTCTAAATAATGTAAACATCTCAATATGACTGAAATATCTCAATATGTTTTATATTTAAATATATGAGGAAACCCTTGATATATGATAGACAGCATAAGCATATTCCCTCATTATGTATTTCAGTAGGAATGTGTGAAAACCCTAGTTAAATATTGGGTCATACTGTGAAAGTTCAATATTTCAAGAATGCATAGGATGAGAGCGGGGCATGGTAGCCCCTACCTGTAATCCCAGCACTTGGGAGGCTGAAGCAGGAGGATCACTGCTAGTTTGAGGCCAGCCTCAACATGGTGAGTTCAAGGCTGGCCTGAACTACGTAGTGAGACCCTGTCTTAAAAAAAAAAAAAAGCATAGGATGATCATCCGCTAGTAAAGAAACATCTTGTCAAGCAAACAATTCCAATTACATTCATCTTGGGGAGTTGGTACATGTACATAGCACATCTTAATTCTCTTTAACCACCAACCCCAACCAAAACTACTTTGTCATGTATCCCCTTGGGAAATTCAGATTAGGCCTGGTATTTGATGTACAGGATTGATAATTACATGCCAGAGTCATAGTAATGACCTGCATGGTAATGACAGTAGTGCAAGCAGGCGAGAAATGTGAATGAAACATTTGTCTTTCCTCTTACAGTCTATATCAGCACGGGATGAAAACCTCTCAAAAACAATGTTTCTGCCCCTGGCTGAGAGAATGGTCGAAAAAATGGTAAAAGAGGACAAGATAGAGGCTGAGGCTGAGGTGAGTGATTTAAGCCCTACTTCCACATTTTCATGATTTGAACATTGTACATTGTACCTTACTATTACTATTTGTTGCTTTGTTCTAGTTCAATAGCTGGGTCTCCAGTCTTGACCTTTATTTAAATATAGAGGTTTGGAAACCCTCTGCTTAGGGTTACTGAACACTGAGCTGTTGCAGGCGTGTATTCTAGGCTCAGATGTGTGTGAATGGGGAAGACATGGTCTCATTATCAGTTTTTATCTCATTTGAGAACAGTGTTCATTTTTAAGTGTTTTTAAAAAAATACACAAACTATTATCTTCTGATTATTGAAGACTCAGTGGATATGCTGACATATTTCTTCTGTAAGGTCGAGCTTTATTATATGATCCTGGAACGACTGGGAAAGTACCAGGAGGCCTTGGATGTCATTAGAGGGAAATTAGGAGGTAATTTTTAAAGTTTTCCTAAAGTTTTTTTTCTTTTGTAATAAAATGTGAAGATTGTTTATTGTGGAAAAAATTCTTCCTCACGCAGAAACACAAAGATATGAAACACCTAAAAAAAAAATCACTTGGGGCCAGGTGTGGTGGTATCTGTCATTTGTAATGCCAGCTACTCAGGAGGCTGGAGCAAGAGGATTGCAAATTTGGGGTCCAATCTGGGCAACATAGGAAAAAGGAAAAACAATCACTTATTCTTGATCACTTTGTTATATTCTTCCAGACTTTTCTGCATATTATAGATTTATTTTTAAAACTTTAAAGAACTTCTTGAGAATAATTTATGAATTTAATAAATTCAAGCAATGTGAAAGATTATGTCCCATATCTAGAGTCATTGCTTCTCCTCTAGTTAGTTGTTATTAATATCTTTATAAGGAGATATTTTCCTTTCTCCTTTAAAGAAATTTTTTAAAACTATGAGAACCTCACTTGTAAGCAATTAATGATTTTGGTGACTTGAGTTTAATTTCATATACCAGGCAAGCACTAAACTACTGAGTATACACTCAGGGAGTTTTATGTCTTTCAATCTGTCAGGTAAAACATGTCTTACATTTTTTAACTTCTGTAATTATGATGTAAGGGGATCATGTTTGTTTTGTTTGTGTAAAAGCCATTACTATTTTCTGAGCTGCCTTTTTATTTCTATTTTTCAAGACCACTTTAATTTTGTGTGTGTGTGGGGGGTGTTTGAGAGAGGGTCTTACTTTGTACTTCAGGCTGGCTTTGAACTCACTGGCCTCAAACTCACAATGATCCTCCTGCCTCACCCTCCTGAGTGCTGGGGTTATAGGTGTGTACCACCGTTCTCAGTTTTAAGAGTACTTTATATGTTCAAAGAAATGAACTTTTTTCCATTGTTGTAAAAACACTTCCCTTTTCATTGGAAAATTACTTGTATGAATGTGTGTGTGTGTGTGTGTGTGTGTGTGTGTGTGTGTGTGTTGGTACCACGGAATGAACTCACAACAGCATGCTTGCAAGGCAAGCGCTTAAGCTGCTAAGCTAAATCCCCGGCCCACTTGTACAAACTTTTATAGTTTGATTTAATCTTTCCACTATTTCTGGGTATTATGACAAACATTCTGGTTAGGAGAAGAAATGCAATTTCTTTTTGATAAATTTATTTTTTTAGTTGTTTCCTTATAATTAGTGGGAGTAACTGAACTGTAGGAGTAGTCCCAGATCTTCATTAGGTTTGATCATAAAGTGACTTCATTTCATACAAGTATGTGTGTCCTTTCCTGGATTATGTATAGTCATAAAATAAAACTATAGTGCTGTTCTTGTCAATGTTGGGGACCTATGCCAGAGCTTCCAGCGTGGTAGGCAAGCATTCTATGACTGAGCTACATCCCCAGCCCCTGCTTTTTAATACACTTTACTGCCTAACCTTAGCCTTCTTGCAGACAAGTATAATTCTGCCATTCTGTTTTTATTCAGCTAGGTGGTAATTCCATGAATAGCTACGATTTAGAGTCTCTACAGTAAATTCATTATGGAATGTTAGTGGCCTTAATCTGCTAAACTGTTGGAATGGGGCAGGCAAGAGCCAAGTGTGGTGGCACACTCCAGAGGCTGAAGCAGGAATAGTTGCACTTTAAGCCCAGCCTGGTTAATTTATAGACTTAGTGAAGTGAAACCCTGTCTCAAAATTATAAAAGAAGGAAAGAATGAATGAATGAATGGATTTGGAATATAGTTGAGTATCAAGTCGTTGGGTTCAATCCTTAGTACTATAAATAAAACAAAATGACAGGGCAAATCTCATTTGTTCAGAACTTTGAACCCAAGGATGCTGTTGCAGGTCTCTTGCCTCAGCCTACCTCAATTTTTGTATTACATCTTTTCCTTTTTTCTACCTACACCTCACCTTGCTCACCTCACTGTAGTCCAGCCCTCCTAGTGTTTTTGAACAATATGGACAGGCTGAATTTACTGGCCTTAGATGTGACTAAGATTTGTAAGTGTACTCAATCCTTGACTTAATCCACGTGGATCTTTGTGTTACACTGAGAAAACGATTATAGAAGTAAGTATGACAAATGTACTTTTCTTATCTTCAGCAAAATAATCTTTCTTTTCTTGACCTCATCCTTTCCTTCTCTTTCCTGGGATTGAACCCAGCATGTTTTTTTGTTTGTTTGTTTGTCTTTTTTGAGACAGGGTCTCGCTATGCAGTTCAGGCTGGCCCTGAGCTCTTTGTAGCCCAGGCTGGTCTCGAACTCGCAACGATCCTCCCACCTCAGCCTCCCGAGTGCTGGGATTACAGGCATGAGCCACCATGCCCGGCTCCCAGGATGTTTTTGTACTAAGCAATATCCTCAGCCCTTTTTGAAATTTTTTATTTTGAGACAGAATCTTGCTAATATCCCAGGCTGGGTTTGAACTTGTAATCCTATCTTAGACTCCCAGAATACAATTCTAATGTTCTTATTTTCTAAGAATATTGTAATATTTTCCTTCTTATGTTTGGACATTGTATAATTTTGTGTAGGATCAGATAATTTTGGACAATCTAATTGTCCAGAATGCAATTCTAATGTTCCTATTTTCTAAGAAAATGTACTATTTTCCTTCTTATGTTTGGATATTGGATAATTTTGACTAGGATAGTTTTGTGTAGAAATGAAGCCAACTTACCAACTTTTATAACTTGATTGTAGAAAAACTGACAAGTGAGATTCAGAGTCGTGAAAATAAATGCATGGCTATGTACAAGAAGCTGAGCAGGTGGCCAGAATGTAATGCCCTTTCTCGGCGCCTCTTACTAAAAAAGTGAGTAGATGCTGCTTTTTGTACTGTGAGGTTATGACAAGGCTTTAGGCCTCATTATTGATGTTGTTTGTGTATTTAAAAATTGCTAGGCAAAGATACTCTTTTTATTAGTTGTGTCCTGGGTGTGTTTTAGAAGTTTTCCATAAGCCTCATTTTTCAGCAAAGAGAAATAATGGTACCATGGTGCTGAATATTTGTTCTTTACATAGAATGCTGAAAATGATTAATTTTTCAAATTCAGTATTGACCTAAAAAGGAAACTTTCCTCCTACCTGTGTATTTCCTGTTTCAGAGTGTGTGTTTGAGGAGTTTTTGGCAAAGATTAGTTTTCTTTTTTTTTTTTTTGTCTTTTTCGTTTTTATCGGTACCAGGGATCGAAATCACGACTACCTGCTTGCAAGGCAGGCGCTTATGCCACTGAGCTAAATCCCCAGCCCCTAAAGATTAGTTTTCTAGACTTGATCATTTTATTAAGCGAAAGAGGTAGTAATTCATATGTCTGACTGCCATGTGGGCCCAGTTTGAATTTCATCATTCCATTGGCTTGAACCACCTTTGGTATATGCGTAACTGTCTTTGATTACAATCGTGCAAAGAAAGGTGTTGATTTAGCAGACCTAATGTTATCATATTAAACTTCTTTAAGTAAAATATAAAATGGTATAAAAATTGTAATACAGTTAATTTGTGGTAAACCAGGTGTAAATGTATATTATATATACTAGCAAAAGGGTACTAGTAAGATTTCCATGTTAAAATTAGGGGAATTAATTGTTGATAAATTATTCACAAATATAAATACATTCCTTTTAAGATGAATCAAATCTGTTGCGTATTGTAATTTTTAAATTGGTATGAATAGTATTAACACATTTGGGCAATAATTAGTCAAATTGAAGCAACTAACTAATTTGGTCTATTATAGACTTTTATTATTAGAAAAAAACTGATAAAAATGATTAGACTGATTTGTACTACCTGTGGTACAAGCCACCTAGTGGGACAGTCAGTAGTGATATAAGCTGTAGAAATGTATTGCAGGATTTCACTTCGAAATGCTTCTGCAGTGTCACCTTTTTAGGGCTGCAGAGGAAACCCAGAGGGAGGATTGGGCCACTTGGAAGTACAACTTTGTAAATAAGTTGATATCATGATTCCTAAGGCATATTTGTCACAACTTGGGTTTAATCCTGTGTGCATCATTCGATCTGATTTTAGCTCAGATGACTGGCAGTTCTATCTGACTTATTTCGATTCTGTCTTTCGACTGATTGAAGAGGCCTGGACTCCACCTGCTGAAGGTGAACAGTAAGTCATCTTTCCTAAATTATGATGGCATCTTTTAAAATGTAGCAAGAATATCTCATTGTAAACTATTTGAATTCTCCTTTTCTGTCTTAATATTGTATTCATTTCAAAATAGGAGAAATTTTTCTTTTTTATTTTTTGAGTAGTGTCTTTACAGTTCAGGCTGGTCTTAAAGTCACAATCATTCTCCTGCCTCAGCCTCCCGAGTGCTGGGATTACAGGCGTGCACTACCATGCTTGGTTTTGTTCTTAAAATTATAAAATCTGTGCATATTGTACAAATTTTTTAGTGCTGAAATAGGTGGTATGTTTCTTCCCCAAGATTTGTTTCCATGTGCATACATAATTACCATAAAAATGGAATCGTATTAGACATAATAGTTTGCAACTTATTTTTTCTCATACACTATATCTTAGGCCTTCTTGTATATGTTAATATGTAATTTGCATTCTTCTCTAGTGATAGTTTACAGACTTTTTTCTTTGTCCTTTTTTTTCTGCTATAGGTAATGCTGCAATGAACAAATGGAAATTTTTTTTTTTTTTTTTGTCTTTTTCCTTTTTATTGGTACTGGGGATTGAACTCACGACTGCCTGCTTGCAAGTCAGGCGCTTATGCTGCTGAGCTAAATCCCCAGCCCAAATGGAATTATTTTAAAAAATGAATATAGAAATAAAATGTAAAGATACCAGTTGTAGATTCTAGGGTATAACTCAGTATAGAGTGTGAGTTTAGCATGCATGAAGCACTGGATTTAATCTCTAGCACTGCCAAATAAATAAATAAATAAATGCATGCATGCATGTATGTATATGTATGTAAGATACCAATTATGAGCTGATGTGTACTTCATAATATTAACTAAGTCATCAACCATGTTCTTCCAGCAGTAATATTTACTTACATTCTTATTAGTCAATAATATATACACACACAATTACCTGATTGATTAATTATTTGGTTGAGACAGGATCTTACTATGCAGTTCAGGCTGACCTTAAACTCACTATGTAGTCTAGGCTGGCCTGGAGCTCACTAGGACCTTCCTACCTGAGCCCCTTGAGTGCTGGAATTATAGGTATAGACTACCACACTCGGCTCCATTTTATTTTTTTAAAGAAAGAAATTGAAGCTGTGTGTGATTGTGCACACCTGTAATCCTAGCACTCAGAAAATTGATGCAGGAAGGTGAGAGCACCTCAAGTTTGAGGCCAGCCTGGGCTTCATAGTGAGACCCTGTTTCAAAACAAAAAACAAAACAAAATAAAGCCCCAACAACAACAAATTTAAGGTGGTAAGTCACTCTTCAGCGGTCAAATAGTCAAATGCTATAATTAGGAAAAAGTGCCGTTCCTATTTTTTAATTTGTTTTAAATGATCGATTTAGCTTGACTTTCAACTTTAAAGAGGACAATAGAGGTGATAAAATACCTTTTTCCTGTGTTTATACCCAGCTCATTAGAAGGAGAAGTACATTACTCTGCAGAAGAAGCTGTGAAGTTTATAGAAGATCGAATAACAGAAGAATCTAAAAGTTCTCGCCATCTCCGGGGACCACATCTAGCTAAACTGGAGCTGATTAGGCGTTTACGAAGTCAAGGCTGTAATGATGAGTATAAACTAGGTAAGAAACTATACAGTATTTGGGAATTCTGGAGAAAACAGAGAGGTTACTTTAGTACCCTAATGCAATAATCCAAGTCCTATAGTTGACAACGTCATGTTTGGGCAGGAAACATTTTCATAACCTGAAAATATTTACTAATTGCATGGGTTGCTTGCCAAATTAGTCTGCAATTGCATATTCAACTTGGCTTTACTATTAGCAGCACTGCCTAGTCTTATTATTTTTTGTGAACCTAACAATAAAGCAAAATCACTTAGAATGAAAAATTGCCAGTTTTGTAAAAGTTTCAGGGTTTCTTGAAGTAGATAAAGTTTTATTGAAAATCTACTCGATGTACTCACAAAGATATGGACAAAAGAATATTGGATGTAATTAGAGCAAATAGTGCTGAAAGGAAAACTTAAATTTACAAAAACAATAACCTAGGGAGAAAAAAATATTACGAATAGTAAAGCAGTAAGTCTAGGAAATTTGGTGAAGATCTTAGCCGTTTTTTTTTTTTTCTTTTCTTTTTTTAAAAGTTGTTTTTATAAAATGTTTTTTATGACCTTACTGCACTAGAAGTGAAAGATGTTGTGTTGTGTTAGTTCACAATTTTTTTGAGAAAAAAATGACTACTTCCCCCAACAAAAGCAACTAATTCATGAAGAATTAGTTTACAGTTTTATCTCTGCTCTGATGTTTGCTAAATTTAGAAAATAAACTTCTTTTTCCTGCTTCATTTTTTGGACTTTTTGAGACAGGGTTTCACTATGTAGTGCAGGTTGGTTACCAACTCACTTGTGTAGCTCAGGCTGACCTCCAACTCACAACGATTCTCCTGTCTCAGCTTCCTGAGTGCTGAGATTTCTGCTTCATTTTTAAAGAGAAAGTTCCAGAGAAATATTTTCCCTTACCATTATGAAAGTTTGGTCCTCGTTAAAGGCTTTTTTGAGGCTCAGTTGTCTTATAATAATGAGTACCTCTGGGATGTGGCTCTGTCCTAGACATCTTTGTCCATTTTAATCATTAATTATTGTTCTCCACAACTCAGTCTTTTTGTAGCTTTTTCAAAGCTAACTTTGAATCCCATGTTGACATCTTTCTTTGGGTTATTAAAATTTGACATGAAATTATGCCATGGGAGTTCTAAAATTGTAAAAGAAGGTGTTCATCTGATATTTAGCAAAATATTGTTGAAATAGATTCAAAATATCTACATCTCCCAAACCACTTTTGTCTGTCTCCTAACTTTCTCTTCCCACTCTCCAGCTCACCTGATACAAGTATGTGAATTTGGCTAGTCTCCACAAAAGTGTTTTTACTGGACCAGTGAAAGATTGTTACTCTCTTTGGGGTCACAGACTCCTCAGAGAATCTGATTAAAGCTATGGACCCCTTATCATAGAGAAATGTGAACAGAAACTGAAACCTGAAATCTTTTTTGATAGTACTAGGATTAAACCCAAGGTCTTATGCATGCTGCCCAGGTTGGCCCTGAACTTGTGATTTCCTTGCCTCAGCCTTCTAAGCAGTTAAGAGTATAGATTTACAGCACCATGCTCAGCTGAGACCTAAAATTCTAGAGACCTTGGATTAAAGGCAGGTTAAGAATTGTTTTGTTGTTTTGTTTTGTTTTTAATTTAAAGAAAAAGAAAATGGTAACTTCATAAATCCAGGTTTAAATTTTTCATAGTGAATGATTTTGTTTGAGTAAATTTTTATATGTTGCCAGTCTATACACTGTATATAGTTTGTTTGTTTTTTGGAGACAAGGTCTTACTATGTAGCCTTGAATTTGTGGTGATCCTCCTGCCTCAGCCTCCTGAATGTTGGGATTACAGGCTGGTGTCACCATGCTATCACATTGTATATTTGATCACTGTGTATTAATGATTTTTTTGTTAGTGTACCTGTCAACAAGCAGTGCTTTTCATTTAGTTAGCATTTATTTAATACTTGTTAAATAGTTTAAGATCTATCATTGAAGCATATATGTTGAATGCCTCTTTCTAAACTTAAAGTCTTTATTTTCACTTTAACTAAAATCTTGTTTTACCATTTAAATTTCAACTGAATAAGAAGGCTTTGCGGGGCTGGGGGTTTAGCTCAGCGGCATAAGTGCCTGCCTTGCAAGTGCGCAGTCGTGAGTTCGATCCCTGGTACCAATTTAAAAAAAAAAAAATAAAAGCCTTTGCATTTCCTAAGTATAATAGGTAAGCTAAGTTTTTTTGTTAAATTTAAAGTATATCTCTCCCTGCCCCTGCAACTTTTTAAAAAGATATTGGAGATTGAACCCAGGGCCTTTGCACTGAGCTATGGCCCCAGTTTTTTATATTTTTATTTTGAGGCAGGGTCGGCTTAAGTTTCTAAATTGCTCAGCCTGTTTTAGAATTTATGACCCTTTTCCCTCAGCCTTCCAGAATCATGGGACTACATGCATGTACCACAACGTTTGGTTGATTTGTTTATTTTATCTTACTTTGTTTGTTTGTTTGTTTATTTATGACGGGTCTTACCGTATTGTTCAGGGTAACCTAAACTCACTATGTAGCCCAGACTGCCTGAAACTCTGGGCAATCCTGCTTCAGCTTCCTCAGTGCTGTGATTGCAGGCGCTAGCCAACATGCCTGGCTCTAAATTGTGTGTGTATTTATTTTTTTTTAAGACAAGCTTTTGCTATACAGTTTAGGCTGAACTCCCTGTGTAGCCCAGGCTAGCCTCAAACCCAGGGATCCTCTTGTGTCAGCCTCCGGAATGTTGGGAGTACAGACATGTGCAAACATGCCTGGCTATTTGTTTCTTTTTAAAGTGCCAAGTTATCTCTCAGTTCTCTTTCTTATTTCATTCATTCTCATTAAAACATTTAGCAACATTTTAATATTTTAATATAAGTATTTTCAAATTAGACCTCACTTAAATGAGAAAAATTTTCAGTCCATGAATATTTTTTTTTTCCGTGAATAATTTTGTGATTTTCTTCTCCTCCCTTAGGTGATCCAGAAGAATTAATGTTCCAATATTTTAAAAAGTTTGGGGATAAACCATGTTGTTTTACAGACCTAAAGGTGTTTGTTGACCTTTTGCCTGCTACACAATGTACAAAAGTAAGTACTTTTGAGAGTTCTGTTGGCTCCCTCTTTTCTTTGGAACTAGGCTAGTTGTGTGGGTTAGTGGTAAGCATGAGGCGGCAGAGTGCCTGCCCCAGAGAGTGGAGCACCTTAGACACTGTCATATGGAAGGTGTGACTTCTGATCATGTTGGGCCACAGTGGACATCACTCCCTGACAGGTGATTGTGAGTCTCCTTTTTGTGTTATCACTTTATTTTTAGATAATGGTAGAGTTCCATGTGGTGGAGGTAGTAATACAGAGAGAGCTCACACTGTACTTTCATACACTGTACTCTGGTGACAACGTTTTACATGACATAATGCAGTACCATAATTAGGAGATTGACCCTGGTGATCTCATTCAGAAGTTTAATAGCTGCCTCTGTGTGTGTGTGTGTGTGTGTGTGTGTGTTAGTGTAGTATGTAGTACACATGAGATTTTTGTGATCATCACCAGTCACTTTAAGCATGTTACATACGTGCTTTCATGCTATATGTAACCTTTTCAGGTTAGCATTTCCCCCACACAGCACAGTTGCCTAGATAGTCGTCCATGTTGTTGCATGTATTAATAGTTCAACCTTTTTTGTTGCTGCATAAGATCCCACTGGATGACTGTATTGTAGCTTCTTTAATCACCATTGGTGGGTTTTATTTTTTGATTATTACAAATAAAACTGCTATGAACATTTGAATGGGGCATTTTTATGTGATCATAAATCCCTGGAAAAAATAGTCAATTGCTGAATCTTAAGACAGCTAGAAATCCAGCTTCTGTACATGTCCACCTACATTTAGTGTTTTCACTTTATTTTAGCCATTCTGGTATGTGTGCAATCATAGTCCTGTACTTATTTGTTGTTTGTATGTTCTTTTCTGTTTTTATCTTTGCTCTTTTTCTAATTGATTTAAAATCATTATCGAACTCACGACGTTGCACTTGTCAGGCAGGCACTTATGCCACTGAGCTAAATCCCCAGCCCTTGATTTAAAATTATCATGGTATGTTTTCAAAACCAAATGTCTTGGTTACTTTTTTCTCATTGCTGGGACAAAATACTTGACACCCAAAGTTAAGGAAGGAAAGGCTGATTTAGCTCACAGTTTGGAGGTTTTAGTCCATCATCAGCTGGCTCCAAGGTATAGTGGCATGGCACAGGGGCAACACTTTAGGGTGGCAGAAGACAGCAAAAGTAGCAAGAGCAAAATAGGGGAGAACCAGCCTCTTCTTACACCGTGAACAGGCTGTGGGCTACCTGGAGAACTATATTTTTAGGCTTCCCAACTACAGCAATATGCATTGGGTCAGTCTGCTTACCCATCAGTGGAAATTTTATGCTTAGTTTTGCGTTTTCTTTTCAAGATACTGAGGATTGAGTTCCAGACTTTGTACGTGCTAAGCAAGCACTCTACCTCTGAGTTGTGGTCTCAGTCCTGTTTGTTTGTTTATCTGTTCATTAATTCATTGACTTATTCATTCATTTCATTGGAGACAGGGTTTCACATGTAGTTCAGATTGGTCTAACTCACTGTGTAGCCCAGACTGGCCTCCAACTCGCAGTGATCCTGCTGCCTCAGCTTCCTGAGTGCTGGGATTACAACTGTGTACCATCACACCCAGCCTCGGGCCTTTTTAAAATTTTGTTTTGAGATTCTTGCTAAATTGCCTAGGTTGATTTTGAATTGTCAACCCTTTTCCCTCATCCTGAGCAGCAGTGATTACTGGTATGTGCCACTGTGTTCATCCTCTCTCTGTTCCATATTAAAGATTTTTAGTGTTTAGCCTAAAGTGTCTTGGTGTGGTAGGCAGCTGGCATACTCTGTCCATTAGAAGTGTACCTCAGATAGGACAGAGCAACATCTGAAGAAATAGTAATAAACTGGGCACAGTAATATACACCTGTAATGCTAGCTACTCAGGAGGCTACTCCAGAAAAAGTTTGAGGACAGCCTGTACAAGTTAGTGAAACCCTGTCTCAAAGTAAATAAGTAAATAAAGCTGGGACAGTGATAGAGCACTTGCTTGACATGCACAAGGTCCTGGGTTTCAATCTCTTTTACCATAAAAAAGGGGCAGGAAGAAAGAGAGAAATTAGGAAAGGGAAAGAGGGGAGAAGGAGGGTGGGAAGAAAGATAGAAGTGACTTTAGTCTGTAGCCAAGGATATGGTGAAAGTTATAGGTTTTCCTGTCACAGGGCTGCCACCATGTGTTTTCCTAGAAGAAAACTTCCGTTGTCCCCATAAGGAATGAATGAAGCACATTGGGAGCAGAGGAGATGTCTAAGTGGATTTTGGTGACCTACTGAGTGAGGCAGGGCTCAGGACTTTGGTAGACCTATAGTGTCACATATAGTGGGGCAGAGAACTCACAACCAAGCAGAAGGCAGTAGTCTCTGTGGGTCCCTGAAGTGACTGTCATCATTCACATTGTTTAGCAGAGACGTTCTTGGGATGCTGAGCTCATAGGCTAGCTTCAAGCCAAGTCTGGAAGTTTCTGGATAAATTATAACATATGCAGAAGAGAGGTTTCTGGGTTGTAGGAGGATTTGAAAGCTTATGAGGAAAAAATGTGAGACGAGAAGGAGAATTTTGTCTTTTGAGAAGAGAAGGATTTTTCTTCTACATATTTGAAAAGCAATCTTTTAAAAGAGGGACGAGAATACAAACTAGCAAGATTTTTGTAGGCGATTCAGAGTTTGGCTGTGTGAGAATAGGATCTTTTTACTAGTCAAAATTCTCTAAAAATGCAGTTATGTGTTTCTTATTACTGGAGAGATTTTAGCAGAATATAGATAAGCATGCAGAACAGAGATTCATTCAGTGCTTATTAGGTATATTATGCGCTCAGCACTAATGGAGCAATTGATCTTGTCCTACAGTGATTACTGTCTTAGGAAGTTGAAGCCTCACACAGTAGGGCTGCATTAGAGAAATACTCCTTTAGAAATGAAGAAATGAAGGTTCTTCATGGAGGCTTGCAGCCATGGATTTAGTACCAGTAATTTTTTCTGTGTAGTTTTACTTGATTCATTTGTTTGAAAATCTTAGGTCATCTCATGTAACACCAAGTGGAAAGATTTATCTGTCCACAGGAACCCAGCAGGAATACTAGCAGTGACACAGTTGTCATTGTTCTGTAGGCTAAGGATTTAAAGCTGTTGCAGTGAATTTTGTAGTCTTACTCTGTGTAAATTTTAATTGAGAGGAGTTTTTTGGGTTTTTTTATCGGTACCAGGGATCAAACTCATGACCACACACTTGCAAGGCAGGCGCTTATGCTGCTGAGCTAAATCCCCATCGCTGAGAGGAGTTATTTTGTTGTCACAACTTTTAACTTTTTAGTAGAATGACTTCAATAGCTAAAAATTCTGGCACTCAGCAAGTATGTGTTGGGAGCATCATGGATTATCCAAATAGGTTCAAGCTGAGAACTGCTGTCCTAATGAGTTATGAGGGACTTGACGAATCCAGTTACCCCTGCAGTGGTTCATCCAGGGTGATGTTTTCAGCTTTTGTTTTCTTCACTTTGGGATTTTTTTTTTTTTTTTAGCAAAACAATAAAATGATTCTAGTTTTTAAAGATGATTTTTCCACATCAGAAAAACTGAACAGACTATTACATGTACATACTGTTTCATAATGAGATTTGCTTGGAGTTTTCTAGTGTGTACTAAAGATGATAAGAGCAAACAAATTAATACATAAAATAGCTTCCAAGAATTGCAGAGCTGGGAGTATGAATCATAGAGGTTTATAATCCAAAACTGAAAACTGCTATTATAGTTTGCTATGAATGTGAAATATACATCTGGAGCCGGGCACGGTGGCTCACGCCTGTAATCCCAGCACTCGGGAGGCTGAGGCAGAAGGATCCTTGCGAGTTCGAGACCAGCCTGGGCTACAAAGTGAGCTCAAGGCCAGCCTGAACTGCATAGCGAGACCCCGTCTCAAAAAAGACCAAATAAATAAATAAAAAAAATAAAACATGAGGCTCCATTTGCCTGGATGCATGGTGCTCCTCCTGCCTCAGCTGCACAAGCGCTGGGAATACACTGTAAATTTAAAAATTTAAAATTTAATAATTTTAAAAATCTTTTATTCCCAGAAGTACAGGGTTTTGACAAAATACTTTTGGGCAGCTATGAATGAATCAGATTTACTTGAGTTGTACCGGGGTTTTTTTGTTTGTTTGTTTGTTTGTTTTCTTTTTCCTTTTTCCTTTTTATCAGTACTGAGGATCGAACTCACAACTGCCTGCTTGCAAGGCAGGCGCTTATGCCACTGAGCTAAATCTCCAGCCCTATTTTTTAATTTTATTTATTTATTTATTTTTGCGGTACCGGAGATCGAACTCATGACCTTTCACTTGCCAGGCAGGTGCTTATGCCACTGAGCTAAATCCCCTACCCAATGCCAGTTTTGTATGTTGTCACAAAGAGCCCTTTAAAATGTAGTAGGTAGAAAATGGTATAAATACTAAGGGAATTTTTTTCTTGATATCTTTTCTAGACCATTTCAGTTTCTGTTAATTATGAGCTACTGAAGACTAGATGAAATCTGAGACCTGTGTTTCTTTTTTCCCCACCTTGCAGTTCATTAATCAGTTACTTGGCGTTGTTCCTTTGTCAACACCAACAGAGGATAAGCTGGCACTGCCTGCTGATATCCGAGCTCTGCAGCAACATTTGTGTGTGGTGCAGCTGACAAGGTTACTTGGCTTATACCACATCATGGATAAAGATCAGAAATTGAGTGTCGTCAGAGAATTGATGTTACGGTACCAGCATGGCTTGGAATTTGGTGAGCAATTTTTCAAAATGTTCATTAGTCCCCTAAGCTGTTAAGACTCGGAAGTCAGTTTTTAATGCACTCATAGCACCCTTATTTCAATAAGTTTGCCTAGGAGAATATATTGTCAACTTTGGAAGACCATTTAGGTAGTAAGATGCAAAGACTTTCTTAAACTTGGAATTTAAATAATTCTAGTTGTCCATATTATTTCTAATTTGATGAATTAGCTATTACATTGGGTTATATGAATTGCCTAGCTCATGATAATTGTTACATCTTCTGCCTTTAGGCCTTAATATTCTTTCATTTTATTTTATTTTGTTTTATTTGGTCTTTTGAGACAGGGTCTCACTATGCAGTCAGACTGGCTTTGGGCTCACTTTGTAGCCCAGGCTGGTCTTGAACTTGCAATGATCCTCCTGCCTCAGACTCCCGAGTGCTGGAATTATAGGAGTATACCACTACACCTGGCATGTGATTTTCTTTCTTTCTTTCTTTCTTTTTTTTTTTTTTTTTTTTGGTGCTAGGATCAAACTCACAACCTTGCACTTATCAAGCAGGCACCATGCCACTGAGCTATATCCCCAGCTCCTAAGGCCGTAGTGTTCTTAACATACGGACTGTAAATAAACCAAAGGGATATTGTAAGATAAGCATTTAATTTAGAAGTAGCTGATCTTCAGGTTGATTGGCCTGGAATTTGCTAGATCTATGAGATACAAATATAAATAGTCTGACTGGAAGTTGTCAGTGTTTCCCTAGCTGTATTCAAAAAAGTTAGGTAAAGTAAAGAATACAATATTATTAAATTAGTTAAACATAGCCCTTGATTTATCCTCTTATATTCATCTTAAACCTCCTTGATCTTTTCCTTGGGTACCCGACATGGATCCATTCTTTCCTCTAGAATCTTACCTTCTATTCCAGTTGAATTTGTGATCTCATCTTTGTTTGATAACTTTGATTCATGGCTTATATTTTTGTTCTGGTACTGTCGCAGTTCTTTTTTTTTTTTTTTTTAATGCTTCAAAAAACTCCTTTAGGGCAGTAATATCCAAACAAATATTAAAACTATGATGTGGGTTTTTTCCCCCCCCGTAGGGAAATCCTGTTTGAAAACAGAATTGCAGTTTTCTGACTATTACTGTCTTCTTGCTGTCCATGTGCTTATTGATGTATGGAGAGAAACAGGTGAGTCGCAATGATACCAATTCAGCTTTACTATTTGTGTTTAGTAATTATAAGTACTCATTCTTTCCTTAGGCTAATTATATAATTCATGAAATTGACTATGCTTTTAGTTACTTCTTCCTTGTTCTTCTCCAGGGTGCCTCTAAATGAACTAGGTTTCCAATTTCGTCCATCCCTTGTAATCAGGATTTTCTTAGATCATTCGATATCTATTCTATTTCCAAATGTTTCTTTTTCTTTCTTTTTGCTTTTTTTGAGACAGGGTCTTGCTATAAAGTTCAAGCCAGCTTTGAACTCACTATGTAGCCCAGGCTGGCCTTGAACTTGTTACAGTCCTCTTACCTCAGACTCCTAAGTGCTGAGATTATAGGTGTAAACCACCATGCCTGGCTTATTTCCAAATATTGCTTAATAATGAGTAATGACTCTGAAATTCTGTTATAAAACTATAATAGTTAAAATATGTTGAAACTTATTCAAAAGTTCTGGGATAGATTCCTAGAACAGAATTGTGCTTCTTTATTCACTTTTAAAACTTATGGAAATGCATTTTATTGGAGTAAGTTCTGATTAGCCCTTTTAAGACCAAAACATAAACACACTGAAGGTAATGTCATGAGTTGTTGGGGAAGAGTCAGGTGATGCCACAGATGATACTGAGATCACCTTTTCTGTTCTAAGTTTCACTTCCTGATACTTCCTTTTATCAACAGTTTTGAGAAAAAATAACTTTTGGTGCTCATTGCATATTATTTATGAAAATAAAGTGGAGAACAATAACGGTGTACCCTGTGTCCTGCAGGACCATTTCACAGAGCATTCAGTTTGCTGTCATCCCCATTCCTAAAATTTTTCAAAGGGAGCCTACTTTTCTGATGATAAAAGTCAGCTGTTGTGGGCTGGGATTTAGCTCAGTGGCATAGCATCTGTCTGGCAAGCTTGAGATCCTGAGTTTGATTCCTGGTATCCCTCCATCCCCCCAGAAAAAGTCAGCTGTTTTAACAAGTACAATACCCTTTGAAGTGAGTAAGGTAGTGCATGTCTTTAATCACAATACTCAGGAAGCTGAGGCAGGAGGACTGCCACGAGTTTGAGGCCAGCCTATACTACATAACAAGACTGTATCTCAAAAGCAAAAAGAAAATAAAAAACAAAACAATGCTCTTTGAAGTTTGCCTTCTTGCATTCTTAGGTCCCTACAATCCTGAATATATTTTTTCAAAACTGATATTGTCCTGAACTTTGGCTTGAAATAAGTTTCTTAGCTTTTTATCTATATTTAAATGATGTCTTTGCAAAATCTGTCTTAATTTTACCTGTTCCTCCATTGTGAATTTTCTGCCCTCTCTACAGTTCTGTACAATGTTGTTTGTACCCATAGGGTCCTACTTGTTGCACTGTGCCATACCAGGTGAGGATGAAATCCTTGTCAGGGAAAACCTGTTCACAAGGCTATATAAGTGCTTTTAATTTTTTTCCTTTGTGTGTGGGGATATGGAACCCAAGAGAATCATCTTAATATAAATACCATCCCAGCTGGACATGGTGCTATTTGCCCGGGATCCCGGTACTTGAGAGGCTACAGCAGGAGGGTCATCATGAGTTTGAGGCCAGCCTGGGCTACATAACAAGACCCTGTCTGAACAACAATTTAAAAAAAAAACAAACTTTTTTTTTTGTCTTTTTCTTTTTTATCAATACCAGGGATCGAACTCATGACCACACACTTACAAGGCAGGCGCTTATGCCGCTGAGCTAAATCCCCAGCCCTCTACCCAGAAAAACTTATTAGTTAATTCATTTATTCCTAGCATTCTAGAAGCCTGAGGCAACAGGAACTCAGGTTTGAGTTCAGCCAGGTAACTTGGTGACTTAATAAAGACCCTGTATCATTTTAAATTTAAATTTAAATTTAAATTTAAATTTTAAAAAGGCTGGGGATGTGGCTTAATCCCTAATATAGGCAGATGGAGTGTTTTATGTTTTTTTTGTTTTTGTTTCATTTTCTCTGCTACTGGTTATAGGATGTTTTACATTTATACTGTAATTGTCCATTTGTTTCTTCTGCTCAAAATTTAAACTTCTCGAGGCCAGAATTCCTCTGTGACTTTTGCTTCCAGTCTTATGTGCAGTGCTGCCCCAGAGTGAGTGCTGAATTACGTAAAATCATGATTGGAAAAACAGAGAGGGGACATAGGGAAACATTTACAATAGTAGCACACAAAATTGGATGTATGTTATGATTACTACTGTGTAAAAGTAATTATAGTACAGAGAAAATACATAAAATAGTTACAGTTTAGGTAGATTATGGGTAGTTTTCATAGTGAGGAGTAGGAGTATAGATGGTATTTATCTAAGGCCTTCACTTTATTGTGTCTAGGTGTTTTTTTGGTTTGTTTTTTGGAAATAAATTGTATAGATTCACCTTAAAATTATAATGCTTAGAATTTTTTATTTTAGTTCTTTTTATTGTGATAATAAAAATAGCTTGTAATAATTTTGGAAATACTTTAAAGGGTATAACCTCTTCAGACCCCAAAGATGTGCTAACATTTTTGTATGTGTTCTTCTGCTTTCCTTTGTATTTTACAGACTCGAGGTCAGTTCTTAATATGAGTCACAACTTTCTGTGTAATTAAAACTTCATTAACGTCAAATAGTTGTATGCTGTTTCTCTTTCTTGTTTTGGAGTCGGGTCTCACTATGTAGATTAAGCTGGCCTTAAAGCTCACTTTTCGCCCAGGCTGGTTTCGGACTTGCAACAGTCCTCCTGCCTCGGCCTCCCGAGTGCTGGAATTACAGATTTGTACCACCACTCCTAATTTGTCTGATTATTAATGAGCAGTATTTTTCAAGTATCATGTGTGACATCTTATTAAGAGAGTTACAAATGAGAGAAAAATGGTGTCCAGAGAATCCCTCTCCAGAGTCTTGTGAAGAAAATTTGACAGTATAAAGACTAGTGAACTCGTTTTCTTTCAAAGTTTGTTTCTTCCAGGATCTAGAATTCTGTGAAATCCTATAACTTCACCTCCACAAGATCTGACAAATTAAATCCTACATCGTTTTTACAAAGGGCATGTTTAAGAACTGACCATGTATATTTATCGAAAATATGTTTTCTGCCATTTAAATTAATTCATAGAAAAGGAAGATGATGATGATGGCAATAGGTTTTGTTTTCGAGACATTTCCAGTTGCTGTCAGAATGAGTAGATAATACTATGCTGTATTTTGATTTTAGGTGACCAGACTGCTGTGTGGCAGGCCCTGACTCTGTTGGAAGAAGGATTAACCCATAGCCCTTCCAATGCTCAATTCAAATTGCTGCTTGTTCGAATCTACTGTATGTTGGGTGCATTTGAGCCAGTGGTGGATCTTTACTCCAGCCTTGATGCTAAGCATATCCAGCATGACACCATTGGGTTGGTAGTATATACTCTGAATAATGATTAGCCAGCTACCCTAGGGTGGGGGTCATGAAACTCTCTCACTTTAAGGTTTTAACAGCACGGGTATTTCTGACGTTAAATCATCAACAGCCAGGAATATAGCTTAGTAATACAGTGCATGCCTGGCAAGTGTGAGATCTGAGTTCAATTCCTAGTACCCAACCGAAAAAAAAAAATCAACTATTCGTATCCATTGTAAAGAATAGAATTTATATTTCCTAGCATTTTGTGGTTATTTTAAACTGCACCATTTCAGAATGGTAAGGTTTTCTCCCAGGGACAGGGGCCAGCTGTTGAACCCTCATATGTCCTAAGTGTAGTATGCTATGAGCTGCACACCTAGCCAACTAGCTATATTTTTTGAATGCGTATTCTTAGCACATATTATTTTTGAAGCCTTAACTTTTGCCTTGCAGTTGAAGCTGACATAGATGCTTCATTTATTGACCTGAGATGTCTTTCCGAATTTATGCTTCGGCTATTTTTTTATTTATTTCATAATATTTTCTTTATTCCCTTTGCTGGTGTTTTAGGAACACAGTAATATGTGCTGTTACAGCTTTTGTGTTTCATTAATTGGCAAGATATAAAGAAACCATGGCATACAACTTTAGGTTTCCCACAAAACAGGATGAACTTTGCCATTTTTTTTCCTTTTTGATTTGGTTCTCCAGAGTTTTTCTTTCTTTTTCATTAGTACCTATGTGTAGTACATAATGTTTATGTTCCTTTTGGGAAATTAACACATGTACATAATCTTAATTTCCTGTTTTTATCCCTTTTCTCTCCTTCCCCTTTCCATCTATCTCTTGATCCCCTTCATTTTCTAGATTATTTTTAAATGACAGGATATTTTAATTTTTCTTTATGCTTAGCTATTGCTTTGTCATAGTAATTTGAAGTATAACATTTAATACTAAAGATGGGTAAGTAAAACAACATATGTTTTTCTCTCCTTCCAACCCAGTTATCTTTTGACCCGATACGCCGAATCTCTAGGTCAGTATGCTGCTGCGTCCCAATCCTGTAACTTCGCACTCAGGTTTTTCCACTCCAACCAGAAAGATGTAAGTGATAAACCATTTTTATTGTGGTGCCTGCTGACTGCGTAGACCAGTGAGAGAGTGTACATGTGTTGAGAGGCCCTGTACTGTATAGCATGTGCCTTAGGCATGGTTTATGGTCCAAGGCTATTAAATAGAGGTAGAGATACTTGGGTTTGTAGGGCTCTGGGTATGTTTAGTACGATTGTTGGTGCCAGGATGTAGCTCAGTGACATAAGTGCCTACCTGGCAAGCACAAGGTTCTAGTTTGCTTCCTGGTGCCAAAAAAACCCACACACACAAAAAAAATTATTGGAAAGTTACATTTAATTTCAAGTCATTTTATTTCAAAGAGAAAAAATAAAGTTATATTTAAAACTAAATTTTTATTAATTTTTACTTGAGACAGGATCTTTCTTACTGTGAACTCATAGCAATCCTTCTGCTTCAGTTTCCCAAATGCTGGAGTCACAGGCATATGCTATCATAACCAACTAAAACAGTCTTACCATACTAAGAACTGTTAATACCAGTTAGATTTGTCTTTCAATCTCTTAAGACTTTTTTCAAGGTATAAGAAATAGCCCATAAAAGTTTATAACCTGGAAGAGGGTGGTGGCACATGCCTGTTTGTAACCTCAGCTACTGGGAGGCCGGGGGTATAGCTCAGTCATAAATCTCGTGTAATATGTGCAAGGTCCTGGGTTAAAGAATTTTCTAAAAAATGAAAAAGTAAAAAGAATTATGAAATTGGAATTTCAAGAGAATTAGGTCAATTGTACCTTTTTTAATGTAGCAAGAAAAGATTGCTGCTCTGTGCCATAATGAAAGGATGGGATTTGCACCATATTTTTCACTGCAAGCAGACTTAGTCTTTACTTGGTTAAACAGAGGTTTTTGTGAATCTCTGCCTACTTGGTTCTTACACATTTTGAAATTTGACCATGGCAGATACTTGCTCATAGCTTTCCATTCTCACAGTTGATCAGCAACTTCTCAGCAGTACTCTTGAGCATTTTTTTTAAACAAACTTAAAAATAAACTATAAGTATTATGGCTAATCCTCCATCTAGTTCACGTGTAATGAATAGAAGGCAGGGTAAAAAGAGTTTCTGAAGACTGGAGATAGGTTTGTTGTTCTCAGCTTCTGATAATTTTGTTCTATAAGCTTTAGGGCATGTTCTAGAAGGTTGAAGTAGCACAGGACAACTCTGCGCAATTGGAAAGCTGGGTGACTATCTGCTTAGGTGTTGAGCTGTGTACTGTGAGTTGCTTTGATGCCAGTGGTTGATATTTCTGTTCAGATGCCATTTTGTAACGTAACTTCCATTTAGGGAGAGAGTAAAGTGTGGGTATCAGCATCTGAGCACATAGCTTAGACGATGGTAGCCTGGCTTTAGAGGCCAGAAGGTATCTCTAGGACATAGGCTTTGAAATCTCCTAGTGTGAGTGGACAGCTGAAGTATAAATCCGTAAGTTTTTCACTGTGTGTTCAAGTTACCTGTGCATGCTCTTCTCTGTTTTTAAGGAGTTCTGTTAACTCAGAATCAAAATAATTAATTTCATCAAATCTCATAATTTTGGCCTTCATTTCTGCAAGAAAGAGTTCAAAGGCACATTTGACTTACTGAGAATCCTTTACAGAATTTTGTTTCTCAAATAGTTGTGACATAGGAATAATAAGGGAACCATTCATATCTGATGACTGGTTTTCACTTAGCATTCCGTTTATCCAGCATGTCAATCATGATGATTTGGTCAGTTGAAGCACACGATTTTATACTAGTGAAAAAGAAAGAGGAATTTGAGGGAGTATGTTGTTGTCAGTGTTGTTGTTGTTGTTTATCTTTGATGTTTTGCTGCTGAGTCTGTATAGCAGGGTTGCCTGATTTAGTTCAGTGTATGTGAAGTTCAGCCTGATTAGCATTTTATTGATTCTAGGCTTTTAGCAATTTGTGTTGAGACCACTTAATGACACCAAAATGGATAAGGAGTCTGGAAGAAAAAGAAAGACCCAGTACAGCAAGAAAAATGCACTTTGACCTTGACGCCTAATTTCTTAAGTAAGGAAATAGACTTGTCAGGTAGCCGAGGCTTGTCAGGCTTGTAGGGTCACACTGTGTGTATTAAACTTTTCCCTCGTAGTTTTAGAAATGTTTCTACAAAGCCAGAGCTCCATGTTCTGTATCTTTTACTCTTGGTAGTTTTAGGGATCCCCATATGCTTTTTCCCTTGGACAGCTGATGTGTTCTACTTTTTAAGTAGTTTTTTGGAAGAACACTTTAGTCCTTAGATAGAAAATCCAGCATGGCCTTTTGCTGTGGGATTAAAAGTTATCTTTGGAAGATCTACACAGGGATTTTTTTTTTTTTTTTTTTTTTGATAGATCATTGGCTGCTGTGTATCATTTTGCTCTGGAAGAGATTTTTTTACAATACGGTAGCCCAGGCTAGTGTTTCATATCAAGTATTTATACTTAAATATTTCTGTTAAAGTTTTGTTTTGTTTTTAGTATATGTGTTGCCGAAGCAAGCACTGTTTAAGATAATTTTTAAAAATCTCTTTTTTAAGTGTTTGTGAAGATAATTATTTAGGGATCTGATGTCTGTGTATTTTACCAGTTTTGCAGTTACCAGGGTTCATTTCAGGAATCCATGTGGGATCTAAATAACCGCATTGGTACTTACTCAGTAGAAATAGGTATGGATAATGTATTCCACTCAAAAGTCTTTAATATACCTGTGGGTTCCAGTTTTGCCTGCAGTTCCACTAGGGGGCTGTTCTGTCAGACAGTAATACTACCCCAGTCTTTGTGTTATTGGTTACTTCTTGGCCCTCATCCAGCTCTGCAGGGGCACTTTATTACAGTGTTTAAGGAGGGCTATCTAAATAAGACAAACAGAACTACAGCTACTTTCTTATTTGTTAAAGTTTATACTACCTCCTTCTTGCCCCTTATTTTTCTTTTTTAAAAGCTGCTGTGCTTTTTTTCCAAAGTGGTGTTCCATAGACCACTCAAATTAAAACTGCCCTACACTCCGTAAGGCTGGGTTCTTTTCTTTAATCACACCATGTTTTGGAACTGTAATTTATAAATTTGGATTCATCAGAGTCATGTTTTTGTCCTGATTATTGGCTGAATCAACTGTTCGCAGCTTTTTCAAACTATAAGTTTCTATTGCTAGTGCTGATAGTAAACCTTGCTGTGTTTTCTAAGCCAAAGGGCCATAAGGATAGGCATGTATGGTTAGTGTTCTGTCCTCTTTTTGATGGGGCATTTCACATTCCTAAAGCTAGCAGTACACTCGAGCTTTTTCAGATAGTCCCTCTTAAACCTGCAGGATCACAAGTAATCTTTTTAATTTTCTTGTGTCCGTCCGTCTTTAATTTCTCCAGATACTGCAGGCAAACAGCTCGCCGAGGTGTCCCATGGGGGTTTAAAAGCCGCATCGAATGCAGTTGAATTAGCGCCCGTGGCGCAATCCCGCGGCCTGAAATGAACCCTGCGAGGCTGTGTATCAGAGGGTATGTTGTTGACTATTGGCCTATTTTCCTACTGGGCAGATTACTCAGAAATAATGGAGATGGGGCTAGAGCTGACTAATTGAGGCTGTGCCAAAAGGTTGGTTTTTCTAGAAAGGATCTTTTGGGGTATACATCAGCTTTGAGCTAACACTTTCTTGGCCCAAAGGGGTGATCTTTCTTCTGATTTTGATGGCATAGGCCCCTGCCTGTGAAATGCTCTTCTTCCCTGAGATTTTCTTCTGTTGTGCCAAGATTTCTGATTAGAATTCTTTATCTTGCCTCTGTTCTATAATGTTTTCCATGTATACATGTGTTAATCTACAGTTAAAACACATGTAGTAAGTGTTCCTTTCACTTGTCTGTCGGTAAGAAACCTGGTCTTGGAGTCTTTCTGTCCTCAGAATGGATTAGTACATGAACTTTTTAGCCTTTTGTTTGGTGTCTTCTATCCTGATTAATGCACATATGTATATATGATACAGCATTTAGAAAGAAAACTAAGGAGCAGTCTTTTTTCTGAAGAGTGACTTTTATTTTGGGTGCCTAGGGTAGTTACGTTATTCATCTTTGAAACCTTTGTGTAAAACAGTTTATCTTGGATGCAGAAAAACATGGGGTAATATCCCTTCCAGAATGGCACTAACCAAATTTTTGTCTGATGTAGCATAACAAAATTGCACTGAAAGATTGGTTTCCTCGAGAAGGTTCATGAAATGAGAGCAGCAGCTGGGTATTGTAATTAGTAGTACTAGTAAAGAATCTATAAGGAAAGGTCTGCAGAGTAGTTGATACTCTATTTGACTGAGATTTTTAAAGATTGTGTTTAAAACTTTCTTAATTTTAGCTCAAATATTTTGTTTTGGCTAACTATTTGCTTACATTGCCTAAAACATAATATTTATACCAAGGTTATGCTTTTCCTCCCCAGACCTCAGAATACATTATTCAAGCTTACAAATATGGTGCATTTGAGAAAATCCCAGAGTTTATCGCTTTTAGGAACAGACTGAATAATTCTCTTCATTTTGCACAAGTCCGTACTGAACGGATGCTGTTAGATCTTCTACTTGAAGCCAATATGTAAGTATTACATGAGAGATAAAGAGAGCTATAGAATGATTTTAGATGCAGTAGAACCATTAACAGGCTCATGGGTATCATTTGCAGGCTTAAGATAAGGAAAACATGATGAAGGAGAGAGGGGAGGAGGGAACAGAGGAAAACAGCCTCTGGCCTGTCATGGAAAATGATAGATATTGTCAGCAATATCTTCAGATCCAATTAAAAAGCCATTTTGGCCAGGATCCTCAGCCTCTGGTCCTTTTTTTCTTTTTCTGTCCCCCCCCCCCCCTTTGGTCTTTTTGAGAGAGGGTCTCACCATGCAGTTCAGTTCACTTTGTATCCCCAGGTAGTCTTGAACTTACAAAAAGGGTCCTCCTGTCTCAGCCTTCCCAGTGCTGGGATTACAGGTGTGTACCACCACACCCAGGGTTTGGTTTGGTTTGGTTTGGTTTTGAGACAGAATTTCATTATGTAATTCAGGCTGCCCTGAATTCATCATGTAACAGTGGTCCTCCTGCCTGAACCTTCCAGAGTACTGGGATTACCAGTGCATACCACTACACTTCAGTTCTTATCCCTTAATAATAAATCTTTCCTTCCTATTTTCCTTCCCATCTTCCTAGTAAAACATAGTCTTGGCTAGTATATTTTCTTGTCTGTTTTGCAATACATGTTACTCTATATTACAGATCAACTAGTTTAGCAGAAAGTATAAAGTCAATGAATGTTAGACCAGAAGAGGATGACATTCCGTGGGAAGATTTGCGAGATAACAGAGATTTAAATGTTTTCTTCAGCTGGGATCCAAAAGACCGGTAAGAAGTTTAACCTCAAGCAATGTATTTTTGAAGAAGTAAGTGAATCTAAGATTTTTTTTAAAATCTCTTTACACAGATATAAAATAGCATGTTTGTTTGTGAGATTAGGAAATATACATAAGCCAAAAAAAGAAAATATATTTTACTTCTATGTTGAGACTACAAGCTCTGTCTAGTTCTGAAGTTTAGATATACTTTATAGTATGTCTGAGAATGAATTCCAGATGGACTGAAGATTATGTGTTAAAACTAAGTGGAGAACAGTTAGGAGTACACCAACTCTGAAAGTTAGACTTGTTAAGTTATAGTAAATTAGTAAATTTTTCCGTGGGATATGTGTAAGAGATATAATGATTAAACCCAGTACTTGGAATATGCTAGGGAAACACTTGGGTTTTTGTTTTGTTTTGTTTTTTTAATCTTTTTTGAGATAGGATCTTCCTATACAGTTCAAGCTAGTATTGAGCTCACTTTGTAGCCCAGGTTGGTCTCAAACTCCTGGCAATCCATCCTCAGAGACCTTCCAAGTCCTAAATGACAGGTGTGTGCCACCGTGCCCAGTCCTGATTTATTTGAATATGTCAATATCCTTTATCTCTATAGAAAACTCTTAATAAGTCAACAGAAACAAAATAAGAAATAGCTTGTGCAAAGGAATTAATAAAAATTTCAAAGAAATGCACTATAGTAATAGAAATTTTATTTCTAACAAAAAGATTAAAATGTGATTAGTAAGGTTGTATAAAAATGGTTATTGTCATGTGTTCATATAGTGATACAATTTTATATAGTCTTGTAGGGATTTTAGTGATACTCATCAAAATTTAAAATGCTACCATATACTATTTATTTCAGCATATCTGCTTCTGGGAAAGTGGAACCTAAGGAAATAGATGCACAAGAATGCAAAAATAGCTATATGAGGCAGTCTAAAAATATCATAACTTGTAGTTTGGCAAGATCGCAGTCAGTGATTTGCTAGAATGACTTGAAATTCAGCATATAGTTGCATTCATGACTGAGGTTTGTTATAACAAAAGGACACATACTGGATAGCAAAAAAAAAAAAAGACACAGGCAGAGCCTGAAGAGTTCCATGTGCAGGTTTCTACTGATCTGTCCCCCTGTGAGGAGACACACCAAATATGCTCTCTAGCAGGGAAAAATGCTCTAACAGTTGTGCAGTGTTTTTCCCAGGAAAGCTGGGTAAGACTCCAAGCCCAAGGTCTTCAGTGGCTCTGTACAACTTGCACCAACATCCCAGACTCCCAGAAGGAAAGAAGATGTTCACTGTAAGCCATGTGGTTTGAATAGTGTAGGCACCGTGAGCCACTCTTGACATTTAAGGACTATTAGACTACAGACATCAGCTGGGGCCAACCTTGAAGGTGGACTAGACCTGTCTAAAGATGATGTCTGCAGGTCTACTATTTTATCTCTCTGTCTGCTTCTGTTCCTCTCCTCCATCTTGTATATTCTACCGCTGAGCTATATCTGCAGCCACTATTATACATCTATATTACAAAAGTCTGAAAGGATTTATACCAACCTTGTTACTATGTGAATGTTTCATTATCAGAACATTTTCTTTGCAATTTTTACTTCTCTATCATTTGAATTCATGTGTAGTGAGGTACTTTAATCATTTGAAAAAAGTCTAAGGTAGAAGTAATCTGTAGCTAAGTTCTTGTGCCCATTTTATTGAGATAGATAGATGACATTTCAAACAATTTTTGGCTTGTCCAAGATCATTCAGATGGTAAATGGATGCTGGGGTCATTCAAAGGTGCATTGACTGATGACAGCAGATGTTGAAAAATTTAAACTCAACAGTATAAATAAAATGAGTGGTCTGGTGATGTTTCTGCTGAAGGGATGTTTCTGAAGAACATAAGAAGCTTTCCTTGGAGGAGGAGACCATTTGGTTAAGAATCCGTTCCTTAACATTGAGGCTCATCAGTGGACTTCCAAGTCTTAACCACACTGTGGAGCCAAAGAACTCAGAGAAGACTGCTGAAAATGGTGTGTCCTCCCGGATTGATATTCTGCGCTTGCTCCTTCAACAGCTAGAGGCAGCTGTCGAGACAGGAAAGCGATTTATTGAGAAGGAAATTCAGGTATCATTAAAAATATTTGTTGTCAGAGTTGCAGTCATACTTTTGGTAGTATTTTTTAAGTAGGAAATCGGAGTTGGTTGAGTAGCAAAGAACCAATTTTAACTTTTGGTCCCAGTTTATAGCACCTATAAAGGAAAAAGTATTATAGACTCAAAGAATTGCAGAGTTGTTCTTCATATGTGAAGTAGATATTTTTAAAAAAGCAAAATTGGGGGTGTTTTTATAATTAGTAAAAATTTCAGTGAATTATGTGGCATTTCTGTTTATGCAATAATGCTTTAGTTAGTAGTTTGCTGGTTAGTGGGTTTTCACTAAATCACTGAAACAGGTTGTATCTAGTTAAAATCCTTCGTTTTATTTTGCATGAATTAAGGGATATAATTTTCCCTCTTTATTTCCAGTATCCTTTCCTTGGTCCTGTACCTACCAGAATGAGTGGATTTTTTGATTCTGGCTGTTCTCAATGCCAGATAAGTTCCTTTCATCTTGTTAATGATATTTATGAGCTGGATACCAATGGTTTAGGTAAGTATATACTTGCATGTATGCTCATTAAGTCTTTATCACTGAAAAATTATTAAATGCAGTTAAAATATTTATAGCCTCACTGTTAGAAGTATATAGAAAAAGCTGGGCGTGTGGTGTACATCTATAATCCCAGGAAACCAGGAAAATGGCTATAAGTTTGAGGCTAGCCTGGGCTACATAGCGAGACAGAAATTTGTGGGATAGAAGAAAGCTAGAAATGTCATAGAAAATGTCTGGTTAGTATATGAGAAGGTATATTCACAGATTTCAAAGTAATGTTTCAGAGCATAATTCTTTTCCATATTTAAAGTCAATTAGCCTGATGTAATGGTACATACTTATAATCCGGCACTCTGGAGACTGAGGCAGGAAGATCATCATACCAGCCTGGGCTATATAGGGAGTTCAGGTCAGCCTGAACTACATAGTAAGAACCTGCCTCAAAAACAGATCAACATACATACATACAAACAGTAAAACTAGTCAATTATTAGGTCTAAAAGCTGATGAAATCTTTGACTTGTTGAAATATTACTAGGTTCTATATTGAGTTGAATTTTAAATTTTTAGCCTTGTTTTTTTCTGAGCTCTCAGAGAGATGACAGTTATTCCATTGACCATGGTTTTTGTTTTCTTTAAAATTATAAGGTTTGTAAACCTATCAGAGTATATGAATCACATAAATTTCAAATCCTAAAAGCATTTTAGACAGTAGGTAATTAATGACACTTTTTCTCCATTTTACATTTTTTTCCTTTATATTTTTCTCTCTCAATAATGGAATTTAGATGCCAAGCACCTTGAAAGGAAAAAAATGACCTTTACCCATTAGTAACTTTTAGATATTGATCTTGTTTCTTTATCTTACTTTCAATTTTAGAGGATACAGTGGAAATACAAGACCGAATAGAGAATAGCCTTAAGTCTTTATTAGAGCAGTTAAAAGGTAAGTGTTTTTATTATAGATTCCTGTATTGTGTATAGATGTTAAGCATGAGCTTTTTTCAAAAACATAACTGATCTATATTTACTTTATTGTCCAAATGAGAAATGCTTGTAAATTAAAAGCTGAGAATAAAATATATCTATTTGGAAGATGATCTTTGTAATGGAACAAGTTCTCCTAAATCATTTGCTCAAAGTCTTAATTTTCCTGTGCCTAGTGCTCTTGAAATGTTTTAACTGATATATCAGTCTTACAAGAAAAAAGTTTTGTGAGTGTGTGTGTGTGCTGAGAATTGTACCCAGGGCCTTGCCCATGCTATTTATGTATCACTCAGTTATATCCTCAGCCTCTTTTTATATTAATTTGAGATACAATCTCATCAGATTGGCAAGGCTGGCCTTGAACTTGGAATTCTCCTTCCTCAGTCTCCTGTGTAGATGGGATTATAGCCATGTGGCATTCATTATGTATGACCAGAATATATACTTTTTAAGGCCACTTTCTATTTTTGGTACTGAGAATCGAACTCATGACCTTGTGCTTGCCAGACAAGCGCTATGCCACTGAGCTATATCCCTGGCCCAAGGCTACATATATAAAGTATATATATATATATATATACTCTCCACCCAGTGCCAGGGATTGAACTCATGACCTTGTGCTTGCCAAGCAGGCATTTGTGCCACTGAGCTAAATCTCTGGCCACCGATTTCTGTATTTTAAAGACTGTAGAGCATGCCAGGCATGGGGCACACCCTTGGAATCCTAGCATTTGAAGCCTGAAGCAGGGGATTGTCATGAGTTCAAGTCTTTAGGCTAGCTTGGGAGTTCAAGGCTAGCCTGTACTTCATAGTGAGGCATTGTCTTGAAAACCAAATATTAGTCAACATATTTTTTTTTTTTTTATACTGGGAATTGAACTCAGGACTTTGTGCTTGCCAAACAGGTGCTTATGCTGCTGAGCTATATACCCAGCATCAACATGAATTTTTAAGGAGCTTAAAGTAAATACCCTCTGGTATTTGGTTCATTGTGGGAAGTGGGAATGAAAAGATCTTCAAATTAAGCTTTTCTCTTTGCTTATTTTCTATTACAGTAGATACTGTATTCTTAAAAATAAGATTGAAAAATAGGTGACTATAAGTATAAAATATTTTTCTGTTCTCAGATGTCTTCGGTAAATGTAAAGGTGACCTGTTGGAAGTAAAAGATGGTAATTTGAAAACACATCCTATTCTTTTAGAAAATCTAGTCTTCTTTGTTGAGGTACGTTTTTGTTCTCTTCCTGAAAAATGTGATTTTCCTTAATTGTATGCAGGATTCACTTTCCAACAATGAATAAGCAATAGGCATATAATGTCTGCAATTTAACCTCTTTAATACTATCTTTCCTTTATTTCTGTCCCATATCTGTTTACTTTTCTCCCCTTCTGTAATTTTCTGAAGGCAGTATACTCTTTACTGGTAACTGGCATGTTAAAATTTCTTAAGATATACTTAATAAGTGGATCATAACTGGACACGTGTACAGGCTCACACTGTAGAGTAGAAGATGCATAAACAGCTACTTTAATACAGTGCAGGGTAAGTGCTGATCATCTGGGGATATCCCTGCACAGATTTATAAGTCTGGTTAGTGAAGCTTATGGAGAGAGCTATGGGGTAAAGAACCTTTGGATTTCATGCCTAGAAATTTGGAGTTTTCACTAAGCAAAAAAGGATGGATCCCCCACTTTTATAGGGAAGTAAAAAAAGTGGAATGATGTGGAGAATGGATTTAGCTAGAAGAGCCAGACTAAGGTGGAGGGTGGGGATTCGGCTATTGCAATATTTTAAGCAGATGGTAAAGGCCTGGATCAGTGTATGATTGTAGAAACTACAAAGTGAAAGTTCAGGGGAGAAATTAAAGGAATTTGTATAGAAACTGACAATTAAAATTTTTTGTTTAATCCATTGCCTTTAACTTTCTGATAGATATCTTTATTGACGGTTTGGCCATTTTTTCTCTTTCAGACCATTTCTATTGTCCTTTGGGTATCAAGTTACTGTGAGAGTGTCCTGCGACCATACAAATTAAACTTACAGAAAAAGAAAAAGAAGAAAAAAGAAACCAGCATTATCATGGTAATTACAACAATAAAAACAAGTACCAGTCTGTCTGCAAACTGCTGCTCTTTTGCTTTTTCTTTTTTCTCTTTCTTCTCTTTCCCTGTCCTCCTTTCTCTCTTTCCTCTCACTATTTTTCTCTTTATTTCTCTCTCCCTGACTTTCTTTCCCTCCCTCCATCCCTCCTTTCTTCTTCCCTTCCTCCCTCCCTTCCTCTCTCCTTTTCTCTCTCTCTCTCTCTCTCTCTCTCTCTCTGTCTCTCTCTATCTCTCTCTATCTCTGTCTCTGTCTGTCTCTCTTTCTCTGTTGTACTTGGGATTGAACCCAGGGACTCTTCGCTATGCTATCTCCCTAACTAACTGTCAGTCATTTGATTGAAGGATCTTGCTAAATTGCCTAACCTGAACTCAAACTTGAAGTCCTTCTGCTTTAGTCTCCCACAATTCTGGGACCTATAATCTCTAATACCTATAAGTAATACGCCACCACGTCTGGTTGTGGGCTTTTCTTTTCACTTGTTTCATGATCATATATACATTCTTATTAGCCTAATTAATTTTGAAAGAGTTTTATAATATGTTGCCCAGATGTTTTCAGACTATTGTGCTTAAGTGATCCTCCTCAGACACCCAAATATGTGGGACTACAGGCTCATATACCAGGCCTACATTTTTTTTAATATTATTTGATGACAGAGTTTTGCCGTATGGCCCAAACGGGCCCCAAATTCAAGGCAACCCTCCTGCCTCAGTCTCCCAAGTGCTGGGGTTACAGGCATGCACCACCTGGCTCAGTACCATACATACATTTTTAAAAATTACTCACCTACCAAAAAAACGACTAAAAAAAAAAAAAAAAAAAAAAAAAATTACTCACCTACAGAAAAGTTGAACGATTAGTATAATAATACCTACGAAGAGCCTTACCTAGATTACCACTTTGTTGCTTTTGCTGTTTGTCAGACTGTTTGTTAAAATCATTTAAAACAAAAGAATGGTAATTTGAAGATGCATCAGAAAACAGCAGTCTCTTGCAAAATTACATGCTCAAGAAGATCATTACATTCAAATTGAATGTCAATATGGTGATACTGTCTAGTGAAATCTGTATTCATGTTTCTATAGTCGTGGAATTATGCCTTTTGTTGCGTTTTCCAAAATACTAGAATCTACGATGGGTGTGGTAGTACATACCTGCAATCTATTAGCTGGCTCTGTTTTATAGAAAAAGAGTTTTCCTACTTTTGTTCACATATGTATGCTTGAATATATGTATGTATGCATGTATACTTGTGTAAGTAAATATATATATTTAACGTCACTCGCTGTATTTTTTTTTCTTTTGGTACTGGGACTCAAACTCATTTCATGCTTGCCAACCAGTCACTTCTGCCAGTGAGCTAAAACCCCAGCCCAATTCACTGTTTTATGTATGTACGTATGTATGTGTGTATGTATGTATATATGTCTTTTTGAGACAAGGTCTCTCTCTGTAGTTCAGGCTGGTCTTGAGCTCAACCATCCTCCTGCTTCAGTCTCCCAAGTGCTGGAATTACAGGCATGAGCCACTATGGCTGGCTCCTCACTGTATTTTTTAAATTTACTTTATTATAATGTATTATGATTTTCTCTTGGGTGCTCAAATTGTATCAGATTTAGCTAGCCCCTTCAAGTTTGTTCTTGGCTTTTAACATGTCCTGATTAGGTTTTGAGCCTTGCTTTCTAAATAGCATATATGTCCCATATGCTTTATATTTTCTCATTGAACTGAAATTAGACCGTTTGAGATCCTGATAATAGGAAATTTTATTTCAAAACCAAGATTTTAGCCAGGCATGATGACACACATTTTTAATCCCAGCACTGGGGAGACTGAGGCAGGAGGATCACCATGAGTTTGAGGCCTGCCTGGGCAATATAGTCAGTTGAAGGACAGTTTGAACTACATAATGAGACCTTGTCTCAAAAAACAAAACACCAACATCTTGTGTACTCATCGCTTTTGTAATTTCATTGTTTCTCGCTTACTTCGGTAAACAGATTTAGGGAAGGTATTCTACATATACATGCACACAATTGTGAGTGATGAATTTTCAGTTTCAATTTTCAGTTTCAATTCATCAGTTCTTTCTACTCTTCTTTCATTTTTTCTTGTGTGTAGTTTCCTTTTCCCAGAGTGTGAGAATCTGATTCCCAAAAGTATCAGTATATTAATTCATTTGCTGTTTCAAAACAAACACTAGTTTTGAGAGTTAGTTCATCACTTCCACTTCAGGTTGCATTTGCCTAGCCACTACATAAAGTTCGAATTTTTGCAGGGTCTTTTCTTGTCTTTAATGTTCCAATGAATGTAGATAGTTATAGTACTTTATTAAAATACTGAGGTAACAAAGATTATGTAGTTAACATGATACAGAGTTCATTTATTTTTGCTTTGATCTGACTTTAGGGTTCTTCTCCTGTCTGTCTGTCTGTTTTTTTGTGGCAGAGGGGGTGAATACAGGGCCTTTCTGCTGAGCTGCATTCCCATTCCTATTTTATTTCAAGGTAGAACTTCCCTATTGACCTAGGTATCCAGGCTTGTTTGAATTTGCTGTCCTCTTGTTTCAGCTTTCCACCATGATGGAATTACCGATGTGCCACCGTGCCCGTTTCTTTTAAATTACTTTTATTTTTTTATTTAAATAGTGCTGGGAATAGTGCTCAAAGACCCAAGGCTTTGTGCATGCTAAGCTTGCGATTTCTCCACTGAGTTCCCCTATACGTACGATTTACTTGCAAAACCACTGGTTTTAATATAACTTAATATGTCTAATGCCCTCGTGTCTTTTAAGACAAGTTGTCTCTTCACTATCCTTTCTCTGAATTTTATTGATTATTGTAACCTTTTTTAAAAAATTAGAACTTAAAATATTCTGTTTCAGTTTTTCATTAACATTAAATGAAATCTTGAAGATGTAGAGAGGAAAATAAAGTTTCGGCTCCTCTCAGTTGCAGAAGATTCCCAGCCCTGAGTTGAGTAATAGCCAACTAACGTATTTTCTATTATTTTTCTTCTTCAGTTTCCCAGAGTGAAATAAAAAGTTTTTGGAAAAAAATTGGTGGTTATCATTGAGTTTGCAGTTGTTAGTCTGAGACTATCCAAAATTGTATCCATCCTGTTAATAGCTTTAAGTGATGATGTAGCATGAAATTAGAATAGTTTATGTGTCATAAACACAGGAGATATATTTGATCATCTTTCAATTTTTTAAAAATCTTATTCCCAGCCACCTGTCTTCACCAGTTTCCAAGACTATGTTTCTGGACTTCAGACTTTAATTTCCAATGTTGTGGATCATATTAAAGGGCTTGAAACACATCTAATTGCAGTTAAGCTTGAAGAACTCATTTTAGAAGACACTTCTTTCTCTCCGGTAAGGTATTTTAGGCAATTTGTGTGTGTGTGTGTGTGTGTGTGTGCACGCATGTGTGTGCACGCATGTGTGTGCGTATGTATGTATGGATTCAGATGTTCTTTATATCATAAGCACAAAGTTTCAATTAATTATTTTTTCCTTGTAGCCCTTGTGATAAAGCTGAGCACAATAGTGTGTGCCTATAATCTCAAGACTAGGAGGCTGAGGCAGGAGGATCTTAGTTCAAGCCCAGCATGGGGAACTTCTTTATTCAGTGAGACTGTCAAAAATGAATAAAGCAGGGTTGGGGATTTAGCTTAGCGGCATAAGCACCTGTCTTGCAAGTGTGTGGTCGTGAGTTCAATCCCCGGTACCGATAAAAAAAGAAAAAGACAAAGGAAAAAAATTAATAAAGGGTTGGGGATTTAACCCAGTGCAGAGATCCTTGGTTCATCCCCCAGTGTTAAGGAGGGCAGGCAGTTTGTGATGACAGGGTATTTGGCAGGTGTTTTTTAAATTTAGTCTTTCTTTTTCTTTATAATTAGTATAGTTTATAATATGGCAATATGGCAGTAGTTTTTTATTGTGTTAATAGTGGGGGGTGTTCTCTTCATTTTTTCCCCATCCTATGTGTGTTAGGGATTATTCATTTACTATGAAAACTAAAGTCAGCATGGTGAACAGGATCAGCTATACTATTGAGATCTAGGGGATAATTTCCTTGCGTAAGAATTTGCCTGCTGCAGAATCAGTTTACTTCCTTGCCACCCCAGCACTTACCACCTGAAAAAAATACATGCTGAACATTGGAAATAATTATGTCAGTCATAATTATGTGAGAACAAGCAGGCCACAAAGGAAATACAGCTGGATTTGAGTCAGAAGTACCAACCATCAGGTGTTTCCTGATACTATTTTAGGCCTTTTTCTTTTTTTTTTTTTTCTAATTAAAAAAATTATTTTTGAGATAGGATTTCACTATGCACTTCAGGTTGGTCTTGACCTTGCTTTGTAGCCTAAACTGACCTTGAACCCACAATCCTTCTGCCTCAGCATCCCTAGGGCTGGGATTACAGGCATGCACTACCACACCCAGCTATTTTAGGCCTGTTTCTTAAAATTCTGTTTGTTGTTAGCAAAATCCCTGTAAAATCTTTAAAATACGATTTTTTTTCAAATGAAGTAGAATATGCCTGTCATTCTAGCACTTGGCTGAGGCAGGAGAATGCCTGTCAGTTTAGGAGACCCTGTCTAAAAAAGCAAACAAAAATCCATGCAGAATAGAATGTATCACTGAGTACAAAATAATAGACCAAATATTCTCCATGAGTGTAAGTATTGCAAAAAAGGTCTTGACACGTGACTAGTTTTAGTTGTATACGCATGGGAAGAGAAAAAAGAGACCAAGAGTAGAGGCCATAATCAAGAGATCTTAGAGGGCCTCAAGTTTAGAAAAAAAGGAAAAAATAAAAAGAGGCAAGCCCTATAGAAACTTAAGTTGAAGTGAAATTTTTTAAACTTCAAGGTATCAGCATTCACTATTGAGTAATTGGTACTATTCAGTGTACTGTATCCATCCTGACTTTCACAAAAGCAGGCAATACAAAGCCAATTATTGTTTGTTAATCCTCACTCTAATCCCATAAAGTAATTACTATAGTGTCTCCATTTACAAATAGAGAAATGGAGGTCCAATAAGGCAATTATTCTAAAAAAGATCAAAAGATGACAGAACCAGAGCTAGAAAACTCTAAAGAATATTTCAGAATTAAGCATAACATCTAGAATACTGAAATCAAGAACTCTTACTCGGGACTGGGGATTTAGCTCAGCGGCATAAGCGCCTGCCTTGTAAGCAGGCAGTCATGAGTTCAATCCCCAGTGCTGATAAAAAGGAAAAAGACAAAAAAAAAAAAAAAAGAACTCTTACTCATTTCCAGAAACAGATCTCTTAGCAAACACAGTTTTGGTCAAATCACTAATTTCATTTACCATGCACCATGTACTGTGGATAGGCTGACTCAGGAAGCCCTGCACCATACGCCTGCATATTTCAACATGTCTGACCAGGTTGGGATTTCTTTCTTCTATTTCTGTCTGCTGGGCAAACCTTTATAACATACTTGATTCAGCAAGACTTTCTGATTCACTCATTTCAGTGTGAACTTGTCTTCTTTATTAATCAGTCTTTGATAACATTAAATGTTCTGAGTACCTTGCCACAGGAACAAACACTTTGTTTGAAACTCTAACCTGTAAGTCCTTAAGGCACGTATGCCAGTGACATTAAGCTCATTCCTCAAAGGGTCTGAGTGGAAGTCTAGGGCCAGGCTGATGGCTCCCTTCAGATGCTGCTTGAATTCCATCATCAGCAGTTTAGGCCAGATTAACTACTTGAAGGAAGCTTCGTCTAAGATTGGAGTTTCTTTCTAGAGCAGCTGGAAAGAAACACATTGCTCTACCACTCCCTTTAGGGCCCTGACCAAACTATTGAGCCTAATCCTGGAAGGTGAAGTAACAGTGACCAGAAAAAATTCATTTTGTTGTTTCTTTTTTGGAGATAGTTCAGGCTTGCTGTGTAGTCCAGACTGGCCTCAAACTCATGACAATCCTCCTGCCTCAGCCTTCCAAGTGCTGGTGTTACAGGCATGTGCCACCACAACAAACTCATGAGGATGTGTGTGTATGTGTGTGTGTGTGTGTGTGTTTGTTTTTGAGACAGGAACTTGCTCAGGTGTCCACATTGGCCTGTCAAAATTGCAGTCCTTCTGTTTAAGCCTTCCAGGATGCTAGACTTAAAAGTTTGCACCACCTGCATCCCTCAATGTCCTTATACACTTGTCCCTCACTGTCCATGCACAGTGGGGTCCAGAGGACATGCATGCACTCTGCATACCAGAAATCCACAGAGGCTCTGATCTCTTACGAAAAATTGCATAGGAGATGCACACATGCTCTGGTACGCTTTAGGTGATCTCTACATTACTGACACATGGAATACAGTGTAAATGTTAAGTATTTGTTGCATTGTTTTGATCTTAAGGACAACAAGCAAATCTTGATGTGTTCCATTACAGACCCATTGGACAGTTTGGTTGAATCTGTGGAAGGTTGAGTATAACTGCTTCTACATCTAATAATGAACGATGTTTACAAACCTTCTTATACATATGTATAGTTCTAAGGTAGACTGGGTCTGAAAGAGTACTGTTGGATGTGGTTTCTTTCGTGTTTCGAGCACTACATTCCATTTACTTTTCTTATGGTTCTTATTGCAGAAAATCTGTGGCAGTAAATACTATACGGTATTTATTGAGGAGGAAAGCTCTGATTTTTTATTGTTTGGTTTCTTGAATTTATGTGCTTTGTCAGGTGGAGGGAGACTTCTCAATCTCCCTGCAAAAAGCATGCTGGTCGGTATGCCTGTAATCCCACACTCAGGAGGAGTGATGTGAGTTTGAGGCCAGGCTGGACTACATAGTGAAAGCGTATCTTTAACAGAACAAAACAAAGGTGAAGTGAGTAAAGTTGGTGTCTTTAAAAAGTGACTTTGATGATCTCCAAATTAGTAATAAATACCTGCTATATTTTTAATGTAAACAAAAAATCAGAAATTGTAAGTTTTATACTTTCTGCAGCCTATAACAAAGGAGCAATTTTATGTTCAAACTACTTATAAGCAATTTACTATCTTTTTATTGAAAGCTAATAGAAATCTGGTTTTCTATTTATATAACTTACAACAAAATGTAATTGATAGAGTAGTGATGGCAAAGTAATGAAATCTTGTTAAAAAATTACATAGGAAAACATGCAGAACATACAACAGTTCTTTAGACATGTCTGTGCTTTAGCCTTCTTTGCCCTTTTTGATACTGAAAGTGACTCATTCTATTCCGTGTGTGTGTGTCTGTGTGTGTGTGTGTGTGTGTGTGTGTGTGTGTGTGTTCTTTTTGAGACAGGGTCTCGCTGTGCAGTTCAGGGTGGCCTTGAGCTCACTTTGTTGCCCAGGCTGTTCTCAAACTTGCAATGATTCTCCTGTCTCAGCCTTCCAAGTGCTGGGATTACAGACATGCACCATCACACCCGGCTACTCATCCTGTTCTGATAGATCTTGCAATGAGGTGATGGTAGTTTGAAACTTTTATGTGATGAATTGTAACATAGGTGGATAAATTTTGAGCAAAACTTCTCATTTATGTGTTTTTGCAGGAAGAGAGAAAATTTTCAAAGACTGTGCAAGAGAAGGTGCAGAGCAGTTACCTGCATTCACTTCTGGAAATGGGGGAGCTGCTGAAAAAAAGGCTTGAGACCACAAAGAAACTAAAAATTTAAAGATGTATAAACATAGGCACTGATGACTCTAAAAGCAGAAATGACCATACCATCTTCCCAGGCAAAAGCAACATCTGGTTGACCATCATTGTAATCCAGAACTTCCTCATAAAATGCATGAAGGACTTCGATCGTGAATTAATTTTTTAGATATTAAATATATACAACTGATTAAATTATTGTATATAAACCAGAAGCAGGACCCTCATCTGGGTTTGACCACTTTTTATACATGTTCATATACATATGGCAGCAACAAGAGTACCCTACTTTTCTTCCCTCCCATCAGCAGAAACACCAGAGGTTGGGGGGAAGTGTAAAAGCAGCAATAGAAATTAAGTGTGAAGCATCAACCTCAGAGCAGTGGGAGTTTTAGTCTGGTCTTGGCCATTGGAAGCAAAAAGTAGCGGTAGAGGGGGTCATGATTGGGAGCAGGTCCTTGTCCACAGCAGCAGACTCACGTTGAGGCTTTCTCAGCTGTGTTACTCCCACTGAATTGAAAGCAAGTCCACCTTGAATGAGACTGAGCAGAAGAACTTGATCAGAAAGGTGCCACTCAGATGACCACAGGTGCTCACTTTTGACTTGGCAGTCTTGATACTCAAGACGGTCCCATCCCAGCGCCTGAGAGTTAAGTCTCACACAGAAGCAAAGAAAGCTCTCAATCTACTGCTGTTTAGAGAAGAAAGCAGTACAGACCACTTACTGAACCTGCTGAGGACTAGTTTGCTGTCATTTATCCAACTGGGAATCACTAGAGAGAGGTGTACATAATTTATACAGGCAAGTCTGCTCGTTCTTTCATTGGTTTTGTGAGTCATCCTGCAGTTGATTTGAGTCATATATATATGACATATATGTATACACATACATATATCTGCATATATGTATGCTTGAAAATTAAGATTTACTGTTTTAGTGTTTTGATTTGGGATGAATCAGTTTAACCTAGATTTTAAGTTTTAGGCTGGCAAAGGAAATGTTATCCAGTGGATTTAATGCTCAGTCTGATTTCTTAAAACTTGAGAATTATACCAGGATGGTATTTACTTTGTTCACCTGGAGGTCTGATCCCCAAGACTGTGTAGCTTCAAAGGTTGATCTGATAGAAAAGTTAAAAATTGCTCTTGAAAATGTTATGCAATTTTTATAATTCCTTTGATAACTTTTTTTTTTTTTTTTTTTTTTGGTGTTGGAATCCTTGCTTCTGTTTTTGGTCTTTGTTACCTAAGTGTAGTTAAAGTTAATCTGTAAGAGCAAAGCAATGAATTTGATGAGGAAATTCAAGCATTTGACAGAGGATTGGTCTTAAAGGCCTCAACAATTCTTTCATATGTACTGCTCGAGTGAAATGTGATACTTACTGTAAAAGCAACCAAAAGAGAACTGGGAAAATCCGTGTGTCCAAAGTTTGCATTTTTGTTCCCTCATCTTGATTTTCTTAGGTTTACAATTTGATAGGGTGTTTAATAACTGTTTAAACTTCAAGGAAATTTTTAGAAATTACATTATCTGTTTAAAATAAGACTTGTTAGAGAAGCTAGTCCATCAAGTAATTTCAAAATACTATTTTTGATATAAATTAGTACTCATGGCCATCAAACACCCCATCTTCAAAGGAAGAACTGTCTCAAATGCAATGAATTGATAGTTCAGATTCTGAATCTCCTTTAATGATAACATATCATTATTTCATAAAACTGTTGCCTATTTTAGATGGAATTTTGTGTGTATGCAGGGGTGGAAGGGATGTATGTATGGCATGTGTTCCTAGAATGATGTTTTGAAAATCCAAAAAAGTACTGTACATAGAAATAGAAATCTTCTTTAAAACTTCTATCACAACTGACCATGATCAATCTAGCATATGTATGCTTGGTGGGCTGGCCTTGGTCCTCAGGGACAGTGCGTGACTGGTGGTCTACCTAACCAGTCTCCTGGCTAGGGCTATCTGGACCGCTCTTGGTTTTACTGACAAATGATGTTACTTTTGAAGTTATGCTTCCTTTGTTACTTGCTTGTTTTCCTACTGAATGTAGCAATTCAATTAGATCCAACTCTCACATTTTGAGATAATTGTAAAAAGAATGAAATTATGCAGAAATGGCCAATATCTTTTATCAATCTATTCTTTTGGAATCTGTCATGCACTATAAATTGTGTACAGTTTAAAAAGTATATCTATATATATATATATATATATATTCTTACATGAGTAAAAAGCACCCTCTCCCAGCAAATTGTATGTCATTGATATTTGAAGAAAATTCCCAAATAACCTGTTGCTGCTGCTGCTGTTTTTGGTTTGTATGATTTTTTTGTTTTGTTCTGTTTTTGTGTGATAAATTGATATTTAAAAGAAGGAAAGGAGAAAAAACACGACTACTGTTTACAGACTGAAAAATTATTGCTTTGTATACTACTGAGATCCTAACTTAAGATTCTCCAAAGCAAATATTTGGTTTTAATCATTTACCTGATACAGATAAAAGGTAGAGAAACTCAGTATTCTCCACAGAATGGAAAATGTACAAATGCCTAGTTGTGTTGCCCATCAATTTTGTATATTTTCATAATTTTAATTGTTCAAAATTGCATTATATTTTGCAATCACTATGTTCAATCTGGATTTGTCTTTCATTTTAACTTTTAATATATAAAGGGGTTTCAATGTATCTAAAGGTTTGTTATTGAAACTTCCTATTTGATGTGATTTATTAATATGGGAAGTCTATAGTCTTCCTTCTTAAACTTAAGAGTAACTAATTGACTTTAAACTGGATGGGTTAATTTATATAAACATTTTCATTTTCAGTTGGCATTTCTGCCTGGTTCATTCCCCTTCCCCTGAATTCTTAGAAGCTACAACCTTCTCAGTTGGTGTAACTCATCTCAATTCTGTATTGAGTGCTGTATCCCCTTGCAAAAATTTATTATTTGTGAATTTACATTTTTTGTTCTAAAGCCACCTGTCTTTGGTTTAAAAGTAATTCATTCCATACATTAATTTAACATATATGTGCATTGAACATTTATTTTGGGTATGATTCCTAAATTTTAGGCTTTGCTGATAGAATGGTAAACAAGGCTCTGTATACTATTTAGTGGCTATGAGATAGGGAAGAGGCAATAAAAATATTAGTTTGCAGTAAGTCTCGGTTTAAAAAGTAAGGGGGCCAGAGACACGGCTCAGTGCCACAGCTCCTGCCTGGGAAGTGCAAGGTCCTGAGTCCAATTTCCAGTACAAAAAGAAAGAAAGAAAAAGTACAGTCTAGAGAGTCAGTTTAAACTGGGAGGACCCCTCAGACTGTGACATGAATAAGGAAGACTCGGTTATGAATAAAACACAAGTGCCAAAGCTCCAGTAGGAAAGAGCTGTGTGTCTGAGAATTTAGTGAAAGGAGTGGCAAGGGACAGCATAGTGGGAACTGGATTAGTCAGGGTAAGATGGAGTTTGTTTGTTCTAAGTTTAGTGGAAGCTTGCTGGAGGATTTACGGCAGGCTGTTGGCATTTACCCGAGTATTTGAACCCATGAACTGAGATTCAGAATTGATTTGGACATATTGGAAACAGTGCAAATAACTGGTTTCTCTCTATGGTAATAAATCCACTCACATGTCTCTTTTTTTTTTTTTTTCAAGCTGGATATAGTAGTTCATGCCTGTAATCCCAGCACTCAGGAGGCTGACGCAGAATTGCTGTGAATTCAATACCAGCCTGGTCTATTTCCAAAAGGCCATATACTTTCCTGAACCTCACTAAAGATGACATATTTTTAATGTTCCTGTGTTATTAGATGCTGTTATTTCAATACAGACATTTGTTTCAGTGATGAGTGCTGCCATCAATTAGCTGTATATAATGTCATCTGTGGGCTTCTGCCTGCATTTATACTTGGGGGATACACATCTTTTCAGTAACCTCCAGCATATATTCCCTGATATATGCGCCAAATCTAGTCTTCCCCCACCCCATGCCATCTTATAATCATGTTCACATCTCTAGATTCTTGGTTCTTTATAAATATCTGTTGATGCAACTCTACCTGTAACATTTTTCTGTGGTTATCAGTTACCAAGAACTACTTGTAAATTAAAATTACTCTTGGTATATCCAATCCTGCCCAATTCCCACGGAAATTGTGAACCAGTGAGATGCAGTTCTGCTGGCAGTCGACATCACTAGGTAATACCAGGTAAGGTTGGATGCCAACAGTTGACACAACCAGCTGCTGGTCACTGCCACTGCGGGCCATCACCATATGGTGCTGGTCTCTGCTCCTGCTCTTGAGCTCTTCCATGTTAATAGTGTGGAATGTTTATTGCTCTTCCAGCCACTCTGCCCACACTACTTAGGATAAAATTCCCAAGTAAACTATGACTTTTGGGACCCATGCTACATGTGCAAAATCATGAGCAAGTCTATGGAACATCAAAGGGGGCCATACACAGAAAAAGCAAGGTTGAAAGAGAGCTAAGAACAGATATGCAAAAAGGAACCCAGCTCCCTCCCTGATTTTTGCCACTTCGGGGTGCCCCCATCCTTCTTCAAAAAGGCAACAGTATCTTGCAAGGTGGTGGGAGTTAGGCTTCTGCTGTCTGGGCTGCACTCTCCTTGGAGTGAAGAATGGTGTGGTTTGATAGCTAGAGAGGACACTGGAGCAAATTGTCCCAATCCAGTGGGACCCAAGGGGTAGCAAAGGTAAGCAGGGGGACAGCTACTGGCCAAGTCACAAAATCCGTCCAACTCGTCCAGGAAAAAGGCATCTGCTTGTCTCATTGCACCACTTTAGAAAAATGACATTCCCTAGAACAAAATTGTTCATGCTGAGTGGCATTACACAAGTAATGCCAGCACTGAGAGGCATGCTGAACTGTGTAATAAGACCTTGTTTCAAAAAACCAAAGGAGGACACACTGAAACAAGGAAACAATCATAGTTACAGAATACAGAGGACATACACCATATATGAGAGGTGGATGTTTACATACAACTAAAATACCAGTGCAGCTGAACAATTCAAGGGTTTTTTTACACTTTTTTTTTTCTTTTTATCAGTACCAGGGATCGAACTCACGACCGCCTGCTTGCAAAGCAGGTGCTTATGCTGCTGAGCTAAATCCCCAGCCCCCAATTCAAGGTTTTATCTGCCAACTTAATTTGTGTGTGCACATGCATTTAGACATTTCAGAAGCTGATAGTCTGATGTCTATTGTGTTGTTATTGAGATGTCTTGCTACATAGTCCAGGCTAGCCTTGAACTCACAATCCTGTCTCAGCCTCCCAATGCTGGCATTACTGGTGTGTGCCACGATACTCAGCCTGATAAGATCTTGAGATTAAGGCTAGGGATACAGATCAGTAGTACAAGCATCTGCTGGCAAGTCCAAGGTCCAGTGTTTGATTCCTGATACCAAAAAGAAAAAGAAAATTTACGTGTTTAAATATGAGAGGGGTTCACTTAGAAAGCTTATGCAGATAACTGTACATCACTCCAATGAAAAAACTTGAAATTCATTTTTAATGTTTTGGAGACATGATCTCACTATGTAGTTCAGGTTGACCTTGAACTCACTATGTGGCCCAGGCTAGCCTTGTAACTCACCATGAAGTTCCTGTTTCAGCCTGCCAAAGGCTGGGATTACTTGTGCACACCAAAGCCAGCTCCACACTTCTTTTTAAAATTTGGTATTTACGGGGCTGGGGATTTAGCTCAGCGGCATAAGCACCTGCCTTGTAAGCAGGCGGTCGTGAGTTCGATCCTTGGTACCGATAAAAAAATGAAAAAGAAAAAAAAAAAAGTTAAAAAAAAAAATTTGGTATTTAGAGAAGGATTCATTTCAGTGGCTTAAGGGCCTGCCTGGCAAGTGCAAAGTCTTGAGTTCAATCCCCAGTACCAAAAAAAAAAAGCTGGTATTTACTGAGTAACTCAAGGATAAAGCCACTTAACTGGGAATTATGTCATTTAGTTGTCTAACTCTTCAAGAATTAGCTATGGGGGGCCGGGGATTTAGCTCAGTGGCATAAGCACCTGCCTTGCAAGCAGGCGGTGGCGAGTTCGATTCCCGGTACTGATAAAAAAGACAAAAAATTTTAAAAAAAAATTAGCTATACATAACTCATAGATCATGAAAAATAATTGTACCCACCCCAGTGTTGCTACTGAGTCTTGACAAGGGCAACGTATTTTTACCACTTACAGTTAATCCATAGGACTCTTGACTATCGATGGATATCCGAATATTAGTGAATATCTGAGTATTAGTAGAAACTAACAAGGGATGTGCCTTAAGCTGAGACCAATTTCAAGAGTTACTAGGATATTTTGTTACCCTGGCAGAATGGAGTCCATATGAGCTTAGACTAAAAAACAAATTAAAATAAAGCAAGTTATAGCCCAGAATTAATTTGAAAAATAAAAATGACTTCAGGTCCACTTACCCAAAACACTGAAACTTTATTTTGGATCTGAATGTCATGGACCTGGGCAGTACCTGCCTCTCTATAGCACCAATTCCTTCACTAACTGTTAAAGGGTAAATGTTCCAACTGTCCCCAGACTGACTCTAGAGGTGTCCTATGCATGGTCACATCAGCATCAATGTCCAGGCATATTCAGGGCTCAGATTGCTGGTTTAATACCAGTTTTTTCACTACTTCTTATAACCCACAAAAGTCTTATGGCCAGCAGGTAATTCTCCCCTCCCTTCCCTACCCCAGCAAACTCTGGGACACTGCAGAGTGCTTTTTCACAGTTCCTCCTTTTCAGCCCCCTTCTTTTGGAAGGCAGTTAGGATGTTTAAGCTCTTCTGGAGCTCCTCCTTCTTCCCATCGCTCATCTTATTCTTCTCAATCAGCTTGGTGATTCGAGACATCTCTGTGGCTGGGAAGTCCTCACCTTGATCTAAGACCTTCCCCATGATCTTCAGGTATTGCTCAGCCCATTTCTTTTCAGTCTCTTTCACACTTGAGAGGTTGTCCTGCCCCTGCTTCAAGAGGGCCTGGCGGGCCTCCACACTAGAGGCCTTGATGAAGTCCCCTGCCAGGGCATCATAGGTAGGTAGGCAACCAGGCATACCCAGGTAGACTCCCTGCCCCTTGAGCCAGCGCTGGATGGCTCCAACTTTAATTGCCCCACTGTATGGGACTGGGTTCTCAAAGTCTCCATCACGGAAGAGGTAAAAGACTGGGTAGTTCTCTTTGTCCAGCTTGTACTTCTCACTCAGCTCCATGTTCAGTTTGTCACCATAATCTATGAACAGAAACCAGAGATGAGCAAGACTATGATATGGGCAGGATATTACTGTACGATCTACATGGGCAGAGGAGAATAATAATTTTGGCTGTGTAATGGCTCAAAGTGAGAGCCTGGCTTTAATTCATCCTTCTGAATATTTTATGTCCACTACGTGCTGGATGCTGCTGTAGGGTAGGTATTGAGGACCTAACTGGGAGTCAGACTAGCAAGCTCTCTGATGTAAATTAAGTGTCATGATGAAAATAAAACAGGGTGATGGGACAAGAATGGTAAGAATGTCCACTTTCAGCAGCCACGGAAGGCTTCTAATGGCAACTGAAGCACCCAGATGTCATATGGCCAGCTTCATGCAAATAAAAGAAGTGTCTGAAGGGAGAGGACCCTGGACTATTCAAGGATTACAAATTTCACTCTGGCTGGAGCTTAATGAGAAAGGGGAGCATGTGATAGGTAATGAATACAGTGCCTACGCCCAAGGGCTACTGGGAGAATACATGTACATGAGACCTTCAGAGCCGAGTGCTCTGGTAGATAGTTCCTGGTAGTATTTGCAGTATACTTCCTAACTGGTAGCAGGCATTCCAAGAGCTGGTACTGTGACAACTGATTTTCTTAGACCTCAGCAAAAAATGGCCCAGGCCAAATATTACTGATACTATTGGAAACCTAAAGTTCTAATTCTAGTTCTGCCATTAAACAGCTCACTCTAGGAATCAGTTTCTTGATTTGAAAAATGGGGGAAAGGATACCATAACATTT